ACGTGACACAGATCAGTAGCGGGTATAACAGCCACGTGCCCGGATGACGCATTCAACCCTACATAATCATGCCTCAAGCCAGACGTTGGACCTGTTGATGGATCAACAACAACCACTCCTGGTCCAATGCTGCTTCCAATTAGCATAAATCTTGTACAGGAGGATCTCGTGCCTGTATGCGCCGTCCCAGAATATTCCAAAAATGTTCAAGCGGGTTCAAATCTGGGCTCATTGCTGGCCAGGGTAGAGTCGGTATTGCATTGGCCCTCATGTAATCCACGACTGCATGCGAGCGATGAGGCCTGGTATTGTCATCCATGTACTGAGGTCGAGTAGCAAGAGGGTGGTTGTCAAAATGAGGAACGACGACTGGCCTCAAAACGTCGCGGATGTACTGAGCCTTTGTTAAGTTGCCCCTTATGGTGACCAAATCCAACCTGCAATCATGAGATATACACCCCCAAGCCATCGCCGAGCCCCCGCCGTATGCAACAGTCGGTTTAATGTTCCTTGGGGTGTAGGCCGTGATCCGGTGCTTCCAAACTCTCGTTCTTCCATCAGTGACGTGGAGCAGAAAGCGACTTTCGTCTGACCAATGGATCCGTCTCCAAGTTCTCAGATTCTAGTTCTGTCGTACAATACACCATGCCAAACGAGTAACTTTGGGTTGATCTCTTAACAAGGGACGCTTTATGACTCGTCTAGCCCTGGCAGTTCTGGTGCTGAAACGACAGCTGTTTCAGACGAGTACTTGTTAAAAAGGGTTCTCGGCGTATGAGACGAAGAAGGTACCTGTCTTCGCGATGTGTCGTCACAGGAGGTCTCCCGGATCTTGGACGCTCCTGTACCTCCCCGGTGTACCTCCCCGGTCTGAGCATGTGTCTTGACTCAACGACTTACGACAGTGTGATGATACCCCAAATTCCGATAAATGGCATTACAAGACAACCCTGCGTTATGCATGCCGATTATTTGCCATCTTGTGGCGTTTGATAATCGTCTTCGTGCCATTGTCACACAATGTCATGGAAAAACCGTTTACAACCGAGCTTAAGAAAGCAATTTTAACGTTTGGATATACTGCTTTTAGAGATACTCGAGGGTAGCATGCTGCACGGGCATACCATGCTGCACGGGCACACCATGCATGGCACATGAGCTTTCGTCACGAATGAATGATTACATCATTCGAGAAAACATAATTCTTCCCGTAATTATATCTTTCATGACTCTCACAAATATTGGGACCAAACAATGAAATATATTAGGGTGTGCTTACCTTGTTTCTTTGTGTATATTAATCTACGACACCACTGACAATTGTTTTCTTACAAAGCGCGCTCTATCTGCATTGATCGATGCCTACACTCACATTTTCCATTATATATGTCTGGTTCAAGCTCGATTAAAGTTTACCATGATGTAGCTAATGCCGTATGACATTCCCCCATAGGTTCAGATTGGTGACAAACAGTGCATTGCCAAATACAAAAAACAGTAAAAATTGAAAATGTGGATTTCGTTTTCACCTATCAACGGTAAAAAAAAGTAGGAAAACATAAAATATGTTTTTTTTATGATCAGGCGTCAGAAGAAAGATCAGCTTTGTAAAATCAAGGCCAGAGGCAGAACAGTTTCGGAACCAAAACTTCACGCTCTAATGTACACGAAACATTGCAGTGGACCATGCAATTCTTTCGTGGACGTGGGTACGGGGCCATTCATGGTTTTGACACCTCAGATCGGCAATGCGTCGTCTACAACGCGTTAAACGCCTATGGGCTATTGGTATACCTCAACGAGAGATACGTCAATATTTTCAGTGTGTCTCAGTCTGTGATTTGCGGACTTTGGAACACATTTCTGCAGAGACCAAATGTTTATGATCGGCTCAGTACACGGCGACCAGGATCAACAAAACAAGTCCAGGATAGATTAATCAGAAACTAAACAGTCAATCAAATCGCTGTTCACATGAGTTCAAGTTGATTTAAACATATTTTATTCAGATTGAAATGGATTGGGAACAAGTTATCCAACTTAGGACTCCCTCTCCATGGTATTTACAAAGCTTGTACAGTAAATCATGTACAAGGAGTACTAACTGAGTTGATAATTCTATATTACACCCATCCCACACTTCACACGCATATTCGAAATGGGGTCTTATGAAGATTGTATATACTTTATTTAATGTATTTCTGTTCAATATGAATTTTAATTTTCTCATTGAATTTATCATTTTTGATGTTGATTTAATTATGTTATCTACGTGACAGGACCGTTTGATGCGAACGTTATACCCAAATGTTTATGATTTTGAACATTCTTTACTTTACATTCATCAAAGTACAAGGTAATAAGGTCTGATTCATCTTTTAAGGAAAATCTAACCTCTTCTGTTTTTTCTGGGTTGTAATTAATTAACCAGCGTTTTGCCCAGTTACACAGCTTGCTCAGATTTAAATTTAGAGTTGATTCAACAAGTTGATTGTCTGGTGAAGAAAAGCCGAGTGCTGTATCGTCAGCAAAGAGTCTTGTTATGCAATCTAATTCATCAGCAATGTCGTTTACAAATACAATGAATAAAAAGGGACCTAACACCGACCCCTGTGGAACGCCAGCCTTCAAAATCCTTGGCTTGGATAGAGCCCCGCTTACAAACACTGATTGAGTACGATTGCTTATATAACTAGACAGCCATTCTAGAGTTCAAGTTACTGACCAAGCGATTAGAAATCGTTTGTATGCAGGTAATTGTGTTGTGTTCTACCACCTTTTAACAAATTGGCACAGTCTAGTCAGACGCCAATGATGTTTCGAGCATAGAAAATAAGGGTATCGCCGATGGCCTCGACTAATATTTTCAGTTGAGTCCAGAGATGGACTTTCTGGACAGGCATGGGTGTATCTGGAGGCGTCCTGATAAACGTCATCTCAACGTAAAGGAACATGACAGATTCGGTGGCAGGTCCACTACTGCATCTTGTATACAGTGAGGTGTGGTGAAATGGAGTTCTGTTTCTTTAAGCATATGAATCGGAATTTCTGTTTGGATTGGCAAAGTCAAAACAAGGACATTTGGCCAAGAAGTTAAACTTAAGCTTCAGGTATATCGATGATCTGATATCGTCCAATAACAATCAAATAGCCAATTCCCTTCCACTGATTTACCCACCTGAACTAGAAATAAAGTAGCCCAGTGAGACCGCCTTATCTGTTTCATATTTAGATCTATGAATAAAGATTCAGAGTGACAAAACACTCTCCACAAGACTGTATGACAAGAGGGGTGACTTTCCAATAGTCTACTTTCACTTCATGTCGAGCAATAAAACCAGCAGTTCAATCCTTTTACTCTTTTTACCACGATTTCAAAGAGCGTCATATGACTCTTTCACGGGAGTTGTTTCATCAAGGCTACAAGATTCAAGGCCTCGGGAAAGCTTTTAAAAAGTTTTATGGTACCCATGTGAGGACATTTCCAAATCAATGACAGAAATTATGTACGATGCAATTCCCTATTTTGACTTGTACCATATGTTCCCGTGTTTTTTCAGGTGAACAATTGACTTGCCTTTGCATGTATTTGTGACGTGTGCTACCAGTGGTATCATTACTATTTGATAGTGATTCATAAACACATGCTAATGATGTAGTCGGAATTGTACAATCAACTCTGCTTTGTGCAGAGTTTCTATTGGATATGGAAAGGCTTTTGTCGCGTTATTTTAACGTCCCGTTCAAGATTATTGCACTTATATAGTGACGTGCGTGTTTGTGTGGGTGTGTGCATGCGCGCACACGCTTTACTAGTCCGGACTTATGTTGATTTTACAGTGCTAGCCCAATGAGATTCCATGTCGCAGTTTAGCATGAATACCCAACTCAGACACGGTATACTGAATCTGAGCCGACCAGTCCATGTTAAGAGCAAGTACCATCTTAAACCGTCTTTTGGATTTGACGCAGTTGGGGATCGAACCCCTGACCTTCCGCTGTCTGGGGAGTTGCTCTACCACTAGAGAGGCGGTCGCAGAGGCGGTCTATTGTCCATGGAAGGTCAATGGACAGTTCAACCGAGACAACATACTGACAGTGCCGTGTCGTTTGTGCTCCATGTTGATCCACATTTTGTCTTTTAAAAGATAACATTCCTCACTTTTCCCCAAAATTGCACGTCAGGGACCTGATAGGGAGATGCTTCGCCGACGTCAAAGTCAAAAGGGGTGGACAAGACTGCCTCAAATTGTCATTTGGAGATTTCCGAACACCATGCCACGCCGTATCAACGAACGTTTATACCCTGGCGTCTTCCTTGGTCACTTCCGCCCGGAGAGCGGAAGGTTCGGGGTTCGATCCCCGACCGCGTCATACCAAAAGACGTTAAAAGATGGTACTTGTTGTTACCCTGTCTGGCGCTCGGCATAAAAGGGCTAAAACAAGGACTGGTCGGCTCGGATGCATGCAAGTCGCTATATTAGTGCAATAATCTTGGACGCGACGTTAAACCCCATTTCACCTCCTTGGTCACTTCCAATACACAGCCAACATGTTCTGTTTGTATTTCTGTTATCATCTATTATTTTCGAATATCTCTGCATTTTCCGAGAGTATATATGCACCACATGTTCTAGTCACAACATGCCGAACTGCTGCCGATGTGGTGTACAATGACACGCAATCAACCAAGTCACCGAGCCTTTCCATCCGATCGACAAGGTTTCCTCGTACGACCAGCATACGTTACTGGAGACCTATTCTTGCCCAGAAACCCAACCATCAATGACTTGTGTTGATGAAGTCATACTAGTGAAACTATCTATGTTGATCATGTAATAGACATGTACTTAACAGCAGCAGAACCATTTCCATAATCATAAGAAATTTCTGCAAATTGATATGTCATTCTTGGGTCAACTTTATTGACGTTCATTAGACACAACAGTTAAAAGATGTACACCTACTGCATAACTGTATTGAGTATTTATTACTTGCAGCTTGTCCTACTGGATTGGGCTACGTCTTTGCCGAGTCGATAAACATTTGCTTCAAAGTCAGCCCTGCCTCTGAACTGAAAGATTGGGAAGCGAGCTTGAATGCATGTCATGCTGAAGATGGTCGTCTCGTGGCCCTTGACACTGACGCTAGACACAACTACATCAAAAACTACATCATCGAAGGTAAAACCAAATAATTATGTTATTTCAGCTTTTTCGGGAACAGATTATTTTTTACATAACCTGCCTCACGCTATGCATTTTGTCTCTTTTCTTAACAAAAAGTGGAAATCTTTGCTCGTCAATTTGCAACTTGAAACACGCAGCCCGTACATGACTCAGGAGTGCCAAGGCTTTATTCTTGTCACTTTCACTGCGTTCCCAAGACATGAAATTGTGCTTTTGCCAATGTGGATTGGTGCCATAGTGTAATCCTTGGATAGGTCTTTTGCAGGACTTAGTGAGTGAGTGAGTTGGGTTTAACGCCGCTTTTAACAGTATTCCAGTTATATCACGGCGTGTCAGCTTAATGTGGGAGGAAAGCCCGAAGTGACGCAGGTCTAACACGTTTACCACTTCAGTGAAACCCACGAGCACGGGTATGGTGCTGACAAACCTAGAAACATAATCGGGGCGAACCGGGATTCGAACCCACAATCATAGGATTCTGGCGTGCCCAAGGGACGCAACTCTGCACAGCGGCAGGACTCCCTTCAGGCGCCCACATGCCAATGTCATGCTCTCCCAGTCCGCTGTGGTCTTTGTGAAGGTTCCACAAATAGATGAGTAAGAGATCTACCTTTTTACCCGTGGATGACAGTGATCTGTTCTCTATACGCTTGGGGGCGGTCGGGTAGCCTAGTGGTTAAAGCGTTGGCTCGTCACGCCGAAGACCCGGGTTCGATTCCCGACATGGGTACAATGTGTTAAGCCCATTTCTGGTGTCCCCCGCCGTGATATTTCTGGAATATTGCTAAAAGCGGCGTAAAACCATAATCACTCACTCACTATACGTTGGTCGCTCTTGCCTCTCTCCCTCACCATTTCGCGAATCTGGCATTACGTGCAGCTCTTGATCACCCCACAACGTTGTGTGACGCGTGGTTTACTTTGAACTTTCAGCAAAAACAACCCTCGAACTCCGGTCGTTATTTGGCGCATGATTGAGGTACATGCACCTTACTAAGGGCCGAGGAGTACACATAACAACTCTTGAAGCAGCCATGGTTAGCTCATCTGCGTTTCAATCACATCATTCATAATATACAGAAGGAAGACAATGATGAGATACAGCGGCCTGTAAATGGTCAGATTGACCATCCAATACGATCTGTTCATCACACTCGTCTTGATGGAGGGGTGTTGACTGTCCCTAATGGAACAGTACATCTGATATAGGCGACTAACGGGATCGGATGGTCAGGCTCGCTGACTTGGTTGATGCATGTCATCGAATCCCAATTGCGTGGATCGATGGTCATGATGTCAATTACTGGATTGTCTGGTCCAGACTCGACTATTTACAGACCGCCGTCATATAGCTGGAATATTGTCGCGTGCGGCATTAATCAACAAACAAACAAACAAACGAATCAGGGCCGACTCGTCTAACTGTACTCCAGCTTAAGATGACAAGAAAGAAGGCTTGGGCTCCGTGCATCACTGACGGGCTGCGTTAGGGTGAGGTGTTTCAAGGTTGCAAACGGTTGCAACTTTCCTCTTTTTGATCGGAAAAAGAGACACAATGCATAGCGCGGGACAGAACAAGTATTAAATATTTAATTTAATGTAGCATTAACCCCAAATCCATCTTTCTAGCTTTCATGGCGGCGTTCATCAACATTGTCATGCAATTGAACTTTGATTTTGTTTCATTTCATTTATTTTGAGATTTTGTATTCACTTTTAAAATTTCTGTTTTTAACACCTGTAATTTGTCTTGAAACTACACCTGTGAAGAGATACAATCACTGTTACCCACTTAGCCCACATAGTGCATGTGCAATCCGTTATATATTATCTGGTCCATCACTTGATTATCTGGTTTGGTAACATGCCGCCCGTGGCACTGCGGCGTCAGGCAACAAGGAGACACTGATTTAGTTATTCAAATTGTGTGCGCAGAGGGTGCTACTGGTAGGGCAGGACGTGCTCCCCCTTTTCGCAAACCTCTGGTGTTTTTGTGATGCTGGTTGGTTTGGTTTGTTGTTTAACGCCGCACTCAGCAATATTCCAGCTATATGACGGCGGTCTGTAAATAATCGAGTCTGGACCAGACAATCCAGTGATTGATATCATGAGCATCGATTCACGCAATTGGGATTGATGACATGAATGAACCAAGTCAGCGAGCTTGACCCGTTTTTGGGATGCATTCCTATTATATTTGCACCGGTATTTTGCCTTTTGGGTGCAATGGAATCATTTTCATCTGATAATCGAGACTGGTTATTCTCTATCGTTTATATATTATATATTTACTGATATCTCGATGAATTGTAAATACAAGCAATTTTTTTTATTTCTCCAATATTTATACAATCCAATCCAAAGTATGAATTGTTTGTATGTATCTATTGAAAAGTTGCAGGGATTGGTACCTCCCCGGTGTGGGTCGGTTTGAACAAGACAACTACCACTGGCCCCTTCAGATGGTTATCCGGATCAAATCACACCACTAAATGGGATTACGCGGAGCCTGACTACTTATCCTTTCAGAATTGCGTGTATCTGTATTACAAAGACCTTGTCGACACGGAATGCGATAGCCGGAAACGATATGTGTGCGAGCTTGTTCTTCAATAAACGACAATATGCACAATTAAGTTCAGGGCGCAACTGTATAAAGAGGTTGGAAACTCCTGCACATAGTTCGCCACTCATTATGGGGTTGACCACTCAGTAAGGCCTTGCAAGGGCAGTTTTTATGTTTCAATCAATCTTTATTCATGGTACTGATGAGGCCAAAGGCTTATAGTGCATTGTCTGGGGCATGTTACAAATTTATACATTTTCTTAATTTCATAGCATGATAAATGAATATTGACACATTTCTAATAGTTTCTGTACAATCACATGTCATTAATTTACAAAATGTGTTACCATTTGGGTAAGCCAGGTGCTTGTGCTCTAGAACATGACCATATCATCAGCGAAAAGAAGCAGGGATAATTAATAGTTTCGGGATGTAGTTGTATTCCACCAGTGCAATTATTTTGGATTTTATCTGCTTATTCATTTATGAAAAAGGAAAATAGAAAGGGACTTAATAATACATCCTTGTCAGGTGCCATTTTTTTCCGGACACACACCTTTACATTTCTATATTGAGGACACAATAACTTTTCAATTCTGCTACTTAGCCCATGTCTTTGAAAGAGGGCCACCAGTTAACCCTTTTCACAGAGTCAAAAGCTTTTGCAAAGTAAATAAATACAGCATATAGCTTCCCTCCTTTTACTTATGGATATCTCTGTATTTTAGAATTTTGGGATAAAGCATTGTCAGTGGTGGAGTATCCCTTTCTAAATCCTGCTTGTGACTCACTTATTTTATCATAAGAATCCGCCCAGAATTATTGATAATTGAAGTAAATATTTTACTGATTGTACTGAGGAGAGTTATGCCTCTTAGTATCAACATCGCTGGCTTCGCCCTGTTTGTGAAGGGGAACAATAATGTCAACTGTCCAATTCTCTAGAAAATATGATCTCTCCAATAGGATATTAAAAATAAGTTCCAAATATGGTTTTATAATATCTGAGTAATGTTTAAAAACTCTGCTATCATGTTATCATTTCCAGATGCCTTATTATCTTTAAGGTGGAAATACTGACAATAATTGGGACATTCAAGAATATCAGCTGTTACACTGTCTACTTTATCTTCGTTGAATTCAATGTCAAATAAATCGTGATCGCCATGGATAATGTTCATGTTTATATTTTATAAGTAGAGGTCAGTAGCCGAGAGTGTTTCAATATTTCAGTGATCATGTATTATCAGTAAAGCGTGTACTATGTGAGCCTTTGAATTACCCTTTCCTAATGTATGCTATTTATGATAAGGAACACACAAGGGTAATAGCATCTTCCCGGGGCAAGGGAGTTACCTGACTATAAAGGCCAGTTTCCATCCTTGTCGAACTAGGCTGTAATCATGGAGTTACATTTTGCCTGGACTAACGAGTCTGTGCATAGTCCAATCAAAATCGCGTAACGAACTAAACATCCGGTTCGTTAACAACAGGAATTTCAACGTGCAGATTTCGGTCGACTGCAGGATTTGCGAAGCATGTGTATCGCCAATTTGACGTCGACAGATATTTTGTAATTTTTTTCATGCTTTTAATCAATTGCTCACTCGATTTGATGCACTTCGCGGGGTAAGACCCGTTGTATTACAATATAGATCTTGATTATCGAACAGATCGTCTTGACTGGGCGCCGCCCGTTTGTAATATGAGAGGTGGAATCTGATTGGTTAATAGGAGGAACATAGAAGGGACGTAACTCGTAATAGCCACTGGTGGCGCTACAATCGAGCTTGGAAATTCCAGCCTAGTTCGGCAAGGGTGGAAACTGGACTCTTATAGTCAGTTAACTCCCTTGCCTCGGGAAGATGGGGTAATAGTATCTTTGTCGCACAGTGTCATTCTTTAAAACATCTACGATTAAGACGTTAGTTCACGCATTGAAGTCGCTTTAAAACCCACGTGTGAATACACTGTTTGAGTGAACCGCACAATTTATTATTTAGTGCCAAGTGTTTCGTAGCAATATTTGTTTACAGGATCAACACCCACAGGGAAAACACTTTCTAATTTTTTTGGAAACAGTTAGTCAAAGTGTTTAGAGCAAGAAGTCATCGCTTCGATGTACGGAGCGTGAAGTAGGTCCTGCTAAGTGATCACATTTGTACATTGATCGAATGGTGCTACGAAGTTCATCAGAATGATTCATTACAAGGATAACACAACCCATAATGTGATAAGGCTGTATAAACACTAAATGTTTCTCCGGTAATTATATTTTAAAAGTCAGGACGGAGGAGGGACTTTTTTCGTATTGCAAACAAAACTGATGCAAGATACTTTTCCCTACCAAGAATACAACTGAACAAACTGAACTTTAATACCACGTCAGATGTCAAGCATGCCATTTCATAGATAAAAAAGCCTGTTTCATATGACACAGGAAAGTTGAAATATTTACAAATTATGCATGGCCCAAAATGGTTCTTACCTTATCATACTTCATTCTTTTTGTAAATACTTACTCTTTAATCGATTTTGGTCGTGTTTAGTAGATCTGCTCGGCATTTGTTGCAAACAAGCTTGAATATTTGGGAATAGCAACTTATTTTGTGAAAGGCCTGTGTTATTTCTTAAGTTTCAGAAACACATAACTACGATTGACTGAAACTTGACATAATATGTTTTAATATATGTTGCTCCAATTTAATGAACATGTCATCAAATATATAAGTGGGCAAATACGTTTACATTCAAGGTAGAGGACGTTTGCTTAAACTAATGAGGGAAGGCTTGTATAGAACCTTTGAAGTTGACAGTAACTAGATTTATACACAGCACATAAACTATTTTAAGAACGTTTCACATGTCTATGGGCAGGGTGGAAGTCAGCTGTTTCCACTTCTTGTGATAAAAATGGATTCTGGCATGGGTCTTTTGTTTGCAATATATTTTTCAGTTTTACAAATATTACTCATTATTTTGATGTATACATCAAAGGTCAGTTTGTGTTGTTAAATACTTGAAAAATATAAAGATTTGAGTAGTATTTAGGAATAGGCATTAAGCATGTTAAGTTTAAAACATTACTTCTTAATGCAAAATGTAAACCCATGTAATATTTTGTGCGTGAACATATCCTGATTTCTATATATACACACACAAAATAAAAATAATAAAACCTATACGGAGCAAGAAACAATGCTTAATTTCAGAGCTGTGGCAATCTAGACCCCTCCCCCCAATCATTCCAGACTTAATTTATTCTCTAGGATCTAGGAGACAGACAAGGGCGTAGGGATACCTAACCATTGACCGCCTCCGTGGTCTTGTGGTAGAGCGTCCGCCCGGAGAGCGGAAGGTCCGGGGTTCGATCCCCGTGTCGCGTCATACAAAAAGACGTTAAAAGATGGTACTTGTTGTTACCCTGTCTGGCATTAAGGGGCTAAAACAAGGACTGGTCGGCTCAGAGTCAGTATACTGTGTCTAAGTGGGGTATTCATGTTAAACTGCGGCATGGTATCTCAGTGAGCTAGCACTATAAATCGGCATCAGTCCGGACTAGCAGAAGCAGCCACACATACACGTGCATGCACGTCGCTATATAAGTGCAATAATCTTGGACGCGACGTTAAACCCAATTTCACCTCACCTCACCTCACCTCGCCTAACCATTGTTGTTGTGCTTTGTAACACTGTTGTGTAATATTACATGTTTGACTATATTGACCTTTTCTTTGTGAAAACTTTTTTTAAATAAAAAAACGCAAACGTTTCATACTTTGTCTCCGAAACATTGTTTTAATTAAGGAGCTTGATGTGAACTTATCTACATGTTTATGTATTGTGTTTTGTATCACTGTATTACAACGTTACGCAGTCAATTGTTGCAGATTAAATCACATTGTGGTAATTTGAATTAATTTATTGGAATCTATTTCGCCAGATGATCGAAACTGATCTCTGTGTATCTTCCAAAGTTCACAAAAGACAGGACCTGTGAAAATCCGGGGTAGAAAAGGTCTTCAGCAACCAATGCTTGCTGTAAACGGCTACTATGCTTGTCGTAAGAGGCGACTAACGGGATCGGGTGGTCAGGCTCGCTGACTTGGTTCATGCATGTCATCGTTTCCCAATTGCTTGAATCGATGCTCATGATATCAATCACTGGATTGTCTGGTCCAGACTCGATTATTTACATACCACCATCATATAGCTGGAATATTGCCGAGTGCGGCGTTAAACAAACATACAAACAAACACAAAAGATAGTGTACAATGGTTATTCACAGCTGCTGGCCAAAAAATACACCAGAATCAGTATTCGCGTCAAAGCCGGATCAGAAACAAGCCAGAATCAGAGTTGAAACAAAACCAAGCTATTTTGAATACCGGTGTGCTGCACACAGATTTGCCAGCATACACACAAACAATATATGTGAAGATTAACTAATTGGGAAATGTTTGCACCGTTTTAGGGCACACGTGCAGTTTTGTTTGTTTGTTTGTTTAACCCCACTAAGCAATTTTCCAGCTATATGACGGCGGTCTTTAAATCATCATGTCTGAACCAGATTACCAAGGAATTGAAATCATGAGCATTGATCTACGCAATTGGGATACCATGACATGCATCAGCCAAGTCAGCCAGTCTGAACAACGGGTCGCCATGTCCCCTTGTAAAAGCACAGTTGCCTCTTATGACAAGCATGTGTTGCAGCAGTACACAACCCATAAAATAACTAACTCTGTCTGCGCGGATCACACAGGCTGTACTGCCACAAGAATGGTGCGTTGATACAGATAGAAGAAACTACACAAGCATAACTTGGCACAGAATGCACCTGAATGAAGATTACACTTAGTCATATCATTTTCGAAATTGCACTCAGGCTTGACCTGTTATAGTTATGTGTTGTCCTAGAAGGCTAAAAAAGTATTATGTTTCTGGTCCCCGACTGTGAGTTGGGCTTAACGCCGCTTGGAACTGTGTTCCAGTTATATCACAGCTTGCCAGATTAATGTGGGGGAACATAGGAAACGAGATGTTTCTGTACGGCAATTTCAAAGCCAGACTGAAATGGAGCCTAGTCTATGTAGTCGCCATGCCACAAACTCATTGAAATCCTCCTGATAACACTGAGACAAAGAACCCATGCTTTCGTGATTGTTTTACGTTGCACACTGCAGTATTGGTGCTATATGGCAGCGGTCTGTGAATAATTGAGTTTAAACCATACAATCAAGTGGTTGACAGGAGCATGGATCTACGAAAATGGGACACAATGACTTGCATTAACCCTGGTTTGTCAAGAGCTGACCTGTAACATAATTCAATATTGCCTTTATCTGCTATAAGACAACATGGCATCTGCGAGTGACAGTTAAAAAAATGCTTCAAATGAAACTTGGCAAAGCAAAATAATCGATTACACTCAGCTTTACCATTACCTCAAAACAAGGACCCTCGGATTGTACACCTTCTGTAGTCAGACTGGGCCTTGATCTGCAGTACAAGGGTTCTTTTTATCGATATATGACCTCACCAATATATAAAGCAGTATTTCCCCAAATAAGCACAAGGTAGGTGGTTCAATTCTGTACAATATTTTATTTCACTTCTGAAAACATATCACAGAAATGTTGCATATTTTGCAATGTTCATGATGCAAGGAAACAAACAATCATAGTCCAATACATGAACATATTGACAGAAGCAGCTAATGTCATCATAAAGATTGTCCAGTTACTTATTTGTGAGAAATAGTTTACCGTTTTTTCATGACCAAACTTTCCAAGACTTTATATGTTAAGACTATTTGGATCCGCTGTTGTTCCAGCCATGATTGTTACTCCTCTTCAAGAACTTGAACCGACAAAATATTAATGTCTTACTTTGGAACAGGTGTTTGCAGAAACAGCTTCACTGATGTGACCTGAACTGAACATTATGGACGGAATATACAGTAGTAAAATAACATTGTTCAGTCAACAAGTGGTCGCAAACTGTAGCTTCATGGAATGTAAGAAAGTAGTAAACGGTAACAACATTATCCAATCTCATAAAAATCAGATCTTACACTCCATTACGATACCTCTATGCATGATCATCATCAGCAGATACCTCTGTACATCAGGTACCCTTAATAATCAGCCAGTCAGCTTTGACACTTCAAAACTTTGGGAGAGTGAGCATTCAGATCAGCATATCTCTATCTCGAACTAAAATGACAAATTCCAAATGTAGATAAATAAGGCTAGGCCATTATATTATTGAGGACATGTTACACACCCAAATTTTCTCAAAACCTGGGCATCTACACCCAGAAGGGAGTACAATCGAAGGGATATTTGTGTTCTGCCTGAATTTTCATTATATTCATTTATATGTTGGATAAAGTACAGCAAAATACCATATTGTCATGAACCAAGTGCAGCATATAGTCAAGTAAAGCGCATTGTTAGAAAGAAACCCTTAGCTGTCAATTCAAGCAGAGACTAAATAGCCAGATATTTTGATGTCACTGCCTTTTCACACGAGCCAAAAAGTAAAAAGAATTATAATGATGTATTGGTCAAAACACACATTAATATTTGGGAATCAGACTTGCATACATCCCCTATATATACACAGTAAAAAAAGTGTTGCACCCCCACATTAATACGTTTGATACATCACAACATTTAAAACGCCCGACTCTGGTTTTAATGGTAGGTATTCCTTGGGGATTTGATGTTAAATGTGTAATGTTTTCGGAGGGAAGATGATCACCAAAACGTAGCAATCAGCACGTGAATTGCATGGTGCATGACATTTGCAGATTGCAGTATCTTCTTAAGCTCAACATCGCCTATAAAAGATGTTCTCTGACAGCCCAGTTTATTGTAACCCACAATGCCGGGTAGACGATTGTCAGAAGCAGTCAAGTGGCAGATTATTGGCCTTCATGGAGCAGGTCTTTCGTTCAAGGAGATTGGCAGAAGAACCGGACATCACTACTCAACAATAAGCCGTTTGGTCAGAAAACACGCACAAACTAATGATGTAAGGAATCGCAGACCCTCTGGCAGACCACGTAAGACCACAGTTAGAGATGACAGAGCGTTGTTGAGGGTGGTAAGGCGTCATCCATTTGCTACAAGCACAACCTTGAAACGTCTTTGGCTTCCTCGTCAACAGTTCAGTAACCAGACCGTGAGAAATCGTCTTAAAGCTGCAGGGTTGAAGTCCAGAAGGGTTATCAAGCGACCTAAACTCACAGACAACCACAAACGACTTCGTCTAGCCTGGTGTAGACTGAGACAGAACTGGAACTTGAGGTCCTGGAGAAGAGTCCACTGGTCGGACGAAAGCAGGTTCCTTCTGCATGTTGTGGATGGCAGAGTGAGAGTATGGAGGCGTCCTGGAACAGCTTATACTGCAAGAAACATCATGCCAACTGTACCATATGGAGGTGGATCTGTTATGGTCTGGGGATGCTTCTCATTTGATTGTAAGCTTGATTTAGTGACCATACGAGGCAACTTGACAGGGGAGCGCTACATCCAAGGGGTGCTGAATCCAGTTGTGGTGCCCCATTTTGACAATCATCCACTGGCCACCAGACCGATATTCATGGATGACAATGCCAGACCACATCGTTCACGAGCTGTGACCCAGGTTATCCACAACAATGCTCTGATGCAGATTCCATGGCCAGCAATGAGTCCAGATCTGAATCCTCTGGAACATGTATGGGACATTTTGGGACGCCTGATTTATCGTCGGGACCCTCCTCCACAGAACTTGCGTGAATTGGAAGCAGCATTACACGAGGAGTGGCAGCAGCTGCCCATGGAGCGATTCCAACGTCTGGTGAGGAGTATGAGACGAAGACTTCAAGCTGTGATCCAAGTGCTTGGTGGAAGTTCTTGATAATGACTTACTGTGTTCGTCAAATCTCCATATGACATTCTTACCCTATTGGATGAATTTGGTCACTAAAAATTATTGAGATGTCACCATACTTAATGCGTCTTCGTTATTCGTTCATTTTTCGTAAAAGTTCAGCATGAGATTCTTACATGCCATAAGGTCATGGAATACCCCATTTAAGTTCATTGTATAGACAATACACTGGTTTGTTGGTATACACGAAATCCTGGTTATAATATTAATTCGGTTATCTTTACACCCTTTCAAAACACCCCTCCATGAAAAAGTATAGGGGGTGCAACACTTTTTTTACTGTGTATATGAAGTTTAGACATAAAGAAATCATATTTTACCATAGAAGCTATAGTCAGCTCAGTTAATATGGTCAAACTAGGTACAGCTCTTGCACCTGCTGCTGCAATGCATTAGAGGTCTTGAGATGATCGTCTTGCAGGATTACAATATTTGCATATTTCCTAATATGTATTTCTGGGTCAGAGAACTTGATGTGTATATACGGGCAGGTATATTTTCTTCATTTTGCGACAAGTAACAAGAGTTTAGAGAATTGAAGAGAAGTCAGTTCAAGCTGTGAGACTATAATAAATAACCCGGTGATGTCACTCCGTCACTCCCTCTTCAGGGAACATATACTTCTTGGTGTCGGTGATCTTCTGTAAGTTTTCTCGTATCACTTTCTCTGCACACATGGGACACGACTCTTCACTCTCCAGAAGCCTGAAGTCACAAGAGGTCAAGTTGGATACTCGCAAAGAAAGGCAGGAGTCTCACAACATGTTCATGGTAATAATACAATCACATGATAGTGCAACTGATCCTGCTGCCTCTTTAAACTATTCGTTTGTCCAAATAACAGGTACTTTTTGAAATTTAAACATTGTTTCATTACTTAGAAATATATATTGAGCTACATAATTACTGGACAAAGAAACGATGCATACCAAACTTCTAAAATAGTAAAATTCTCATCACAATGGTGATAGTGGATAGTATGTTATTTTGTTTGTTTGTTGTTTTACGCCGCACTCAGCAATATTCCAGCTATATGACGGCGGTCTGTAAAAAATCAAGTCTGGACCAGACAATCCAGTTATTTACATCATGAACATCGATCTACGCAATTGGGATCGATGACATGCATCAACCAATCCCGATAGTCGCCTTTTACGACAAGCACAGTCGCCTTTTACGGCAAGCATGGGTTGCTGAAGACCTATTTTACCCCGGATCTTAGTAAGAAAAAGAGGCAATCATTAATCGGGTGAAATAACGACTTGTTTGTTCTATCCTATTTATACTCAAGAGGTATTTGTCATTAAACTGAACACAATGGCATGAAGGGATCAAGGCAGACTTGTTTTTGTCACCTCCCACAACAAGCATAGGTCACTGTCCCCTTGGGCCCCGTTCCACAAAGCGACCATAGCGCTAAGGCGATCGTAATTCCCGTACTTTTAACATAGACTTACGTCATTCTTAGCGCTAAGATCGCTTTTGGAACGGGGCCCTGAATCCCCACTGGGGTTCTTGGTGTAAAATGTTCCAATATTTACAGAGGGGGAAGATGGAACAGAATCTGCCACATATCTGTCTGGTACCACATGTTTAGTTCACTTACTTGATAAACTCAGGGAAGATGGCAGGGAAGTCACATGTGTGACATGCAGTCAGATCCTCCGACACCACGTGACGACCCTGGAGTCATACAGGTCAAAATACAGATGTCATGTACAGTTAACCTAACAGTACACACCAACAGTCTACTGTAGAGTGTAGTGAGATTCTATTGTCAACTTATCCAATAAAATGTATGTAATCATTTGGCCTGTCACAAGTACTCTGATAACAGTTACATCTTTATAAGTTCATTTTCCTGACTAGACTAAAAAATGAGCAAACTGGTATTTGTTACCAAAGCTTAATAATTTTAATAATCAATTGTAATAATGTGAATGAAGCTATGAATATAAATATTGCCAAAATGTGATCTTTTCATTATAAAATAGTTGTAAAAAGACACTGAATCCACAGTGTGCATGAACTTTCATTATCAAACCTCTTGGTTATAAAAATCAATTACTAAACAAAATAAAGAAATAATAACTACATGACCAATCTTCTTGGGTTCACAGTCGACCAATTAAATGCAAGTGAGGCAGCATTCAATCCATAAATGTTGTATACAACAGTAATACTTAAAAAAGGCACACATTCCCTAGAATCAGAATGTCAAGCATTGTCGTTGTTTGCACACGTCTTTCAAATGCATTTCTCTCATTCCAAAAAAGTCCATGCAAACAAGAAGAGAGCACAATGAATGTTAGTCAGAAATTCTTGTGGAGTATTGTTTTGTTTGGACAGTTGTACCTTGAATGGTGGAGGTTTTGAATATTTTGATATCATGAAAATAGTTTATCAGATAGAAAATGGTTTCACTAGGCTTTATCAAACCATGACATATTTAGGAATCATGTGAGTTAGGATACATGTGTTTTAGTTTTCTACCATTATATTTCAATTTCTGGTTAGATTCACCTCGGCACATATGTCTGCCTGTACAGAAATGGAAAACAGGACACAATGGTGTTTTGCTTGTTTGTTGTGTTACTCCACACTCCAGCAATATTCCAGCTTTATGAATCAAGTCTGGACCAATCAAACCAGTGATTGATATTATGAGCAAACATCAACACTTTCAGGGTATAATAATAATAGGCTCTTTATATTGCGTATATTTCCACGCAACTCAGGGGCATGCTCAAAGCGCTATTATTACCCTGGAGAAGTGTGCACTCAAGATTTCTCAGCTTCCTGGGGAGTATACAACCCAAGCAGAAGGTTTACAACCACATTGCCATCTCATCCTATCGGGCACCCATTCACTGCTGGGTGAACAGAGGCTCATTTCGAACAAAGCACTTGCCCAAGGTTTTGGTTTTGGTTTGGTTTGTTGTTTAACGCCGCACTCAGCACTATTCCAGCTATATGACGGCGGTCTGCAAATAATCGAGTCTGGAACAGACAATCCAGTGATTAATATCATGAGCATCGATCCACGCAATTGGGATCGATGACATGCATCAACCAAGTCAGCGAGCCTGACCACCCGATGCCGTTAGTTGCCTTTTACGACAAGCATAGTCACCTTTTGCGGCAAGCATGGGTTGCTGAAGACCTATTCAACCCCGAAATCTTCACGGGTCACTTGCCCAAGGAGATGCCACATGTGTTACATGTGCTTCAGTGTTGGGCAGGACACACAATCAACCACGTCAGCGATCCTGACTCCACAATCCATTTATTCACCTCTTACAACAAACAGACTGAGGTAGGTGGGGAATTGTTATCCTAACCCAGAATACCCAGGGGGTAGTGTGCATAACACTGTATAACTGTCTCCACTTACAGTGATGATGCAGTAAGGCAGGTTGTTCTTGCACTCTGGACACATGAGCTCCGTCTCCGGAAGCTGGAAGCCACACACTGGGCATGGGCTAAGGGGTTCATCTTCCTCCGTCTTGTCTGGTTTCCGGACAATCATCTCGATCTTCTTCTTGTACTTGAGATCAATTTGGTTGCGGTACTCTGGCCTCATTAACATGGCAGCATAGCTGAAGGCTGAGTTCTTTAACCCTGACCTCTGACATTCTATCACAGTTGATGTCAGCAGGGGAACGATGTCTGGAAAGAAAACATGCATCTTATGCTACTTTCATCAACAATCATGTTCTTTTCATCATGCATTTTTACCTGAACATGGACTGAATAAAACAATGTCATTCCAAGCTGACAGTAGACAACAGAAAATAAACAAGGGGAGGTAACTGTACATTGTTTGTTTGTTGTTTAAAGCCGCACTCAGCAATATTACCGCTATATGACAGCTGTCTGTAAAAAATTAGTCAGGACCAGACAATCCAGTGATTGACATCATGAGCATCGATCCATGCAATTGGGATACCATGACATGCATCATCAACCAAGTCAGCGAGCATGTCCACCCGATCCCATTAGTCCCCTCTTACGACAAGCATAGTCACCTTTTACAGCAAACATGGGTCGCTGAAGACCTGTTCTAACCCGGCTCTTCACAGATCTAACTGTCTACAATAGATACTGCAGTTAGAGCAGTTAAAATGAAGTCTTATTTCATTGAAATCTCACTGAAATCAAATCTTGTACTCCGATACAATACCTCTGTATGTGAAGATCTGGGGAATTCCAAATACAAAAATATGCAGTAACACTATCATCCTGCAGTGGATATTTTATACAACCTTTGGTTCTGAAACAATTGCATCTACACCCAAAAGGGTGTACTGTTGAAGGTATATTTGTGATCTGTAGCGTTTTCTTTTGCCTCGATCAGAATTTCTGAAGAGGTGATAAATATATGAAGCTGAATGGTACTAGAAAGCTGACATCTGACTGGCTCAAAACCGGAGGTCAAAGTTCACTCAGGCTTCACCTGGCATGACCTTCTGTGGACATGGTGGAGTTGACCTCAAATCTTCATGCAGAGAAGTATCATAGAGGAGTATATAATCAGAGTTTAATGGGAATGTATTTCCATGAAAACTTCTGTCTTTTCATATATTGTATTACAGTGACACCATGTTAGTCTGGATCCGGAAGCTGCAATTTGTAAATTATTTCTGTCAGGAACACCTATTTAAGTTCAGTGCTAAGTTACAGATGTACAGACGATGTACACATGACATTAGCTCAATTTGATGTCAAGACGAGAAGAAAAATAATTTATTAGTCTTAAGCTGGCAGCAGTCATACAACATTGTGTAAGTTCAGTGCAATACTTACGAGAGGGGAACTTGCTGATGTTGTTGGCAACTCGGATCAACATCCGGGCTCCTTTCAGGTGATCTCCTCTCTTGATGTGGATCTAGCAGACAGAGATACATACATTATATGTGGTGCCATCATATCTGTCCTTGTGTGTGTCTATATACTTTTTCAATATAATTACAATGTTTTTCATCTTATACTTTTTAATATCTGCGAGTACCGGCACATGTCTTGCAGTCCGACTTCGCAGTGTTTTTTGCCTTTCACTTCCTGGTTCGGCTTATCTGCGGGTCATATCATTTTCTTTCGTATTTCAATGGTCAAGTTAACACCTCGGCTTATCTGCGGGGTCGGCTTATCCGCGGTCATATACGGTACTGTAAATCATGCAAGCATGCAAATAAATGCGAAAGCATGATAACAAAATGACACATTTTTACCTGGACATATTGGGAGTACATGTCAGGTTCACTGCACATGGGCGGAAACAATGACATGATAACAAAGATCCCAATACACAAGAGTCATCAGGAGATGACATACACCCTGGTCTGGTGCAATTCGGAAATATGGAGTTTGGCTACTTTACCCCACTTTTGGTTCATTGCCATTGGATACCTTCAGTTCAGTGAAGAAAACAATAATCCTGTTCAGTATTTTTCAAAATCCAAAATCATCAAAATGCACCAGTTCACCACTAGACAGATCTATATTGTAAGTTTCAACAAGAAATATTTAACTGTTTTGGAGTTCTGCTCCGGAAACGGAAAATGGATGGCTGATTGATGGGCAGACAGTCATGGTGATCGCTATATCCCCCTGTTTGAACAATGTAACTGAGCACTAGATTTAGACTGTGCTCTTCACCAAGTTCCGCATTAAGTGTGGTGAGATTGTGAGGTCACATGTTGATCAAGCAGTTATAACAAACGCCAACTGTGTATGACAGTGTCTTTGCGCTTGGGAACATAGTCAAATAATCTTATAATTGCAACCAGAACACTGCTCACCCATGTTGTGAAATTGTCCAGTACAGTAACACCAGACATGGTTAATACATGACACTGCTCATCCGTGTTCAGAGGATTGAACTAACTTGTCTCACCATACTTCGCCGGTTATCCTACCTATCTCATTTGAATATCTGTTATTTGAAATTTCTTTTTAAAGTTCAGAGGCAGGGCTACTCACATTAATTTCATGATACATTTTAGGCCAGGTGTGTCGACACTTGCATTAATTGGGTGATGCATTAATTTCAAGATTTCCAGTATATATTTGATGGCAAACCCACTCCATTGTGGACATACACACAGTGGTTTAGCACCCCCACCATATATTTCCATACACCATTTGAAATTGTATCCTATATTAATTTTCAGACAAAACAAATTATTTTAGTTTACTTTACATGACAAAATCATATTCAAATACAGAAACCTGTATCTTTGTTTGTTATTGATATTCATAATCATAATCATAATAATATTATTTTTATTTACATAGTAAAATAGAAATTGCACCTAAGAGGGTTTGGGTGATCCTGGCACAGTCAGGCTCATCAGCTCAGGGCCCTTGGCCCCTCTAACACACAGCCCAAACAGCGGAGAATGTGAAGACTCTCAACACTGCAGCCTTCTGCATTACCAAGATTGTCAGAAGGGCCGTATTCCTATTATTATTGTTGTTGTTGTTGTTGTAACTGTCCTATGGCAATTAGTTGTTTTCCAACCCTTTCAACTGGCTCCTCAACTGTTTTGAATCACGACATGGCCTAGTTAGTAGTTGCAACAAACACAATGTGCTTGTACCCACTGTTCAGCAGGTAATGGTGCTCTCTTTGACATTCATGCCCCCTAGTGTATCGGTTACCTTAGCGAGGATGTAGCTGTGTAGGATCATGAGGTTGGTGGCCATCTCGGCTGGGATCTTGATCTTGTTGTCCTTCAACTCCTGGTACATACTGAACAGCACGTCATGGGCGTTGCGGTAGTTCCCTACAACAAGTCACACTGGTGGTGTATGTTCTTACATATATACTGAACAGCACGTCATGGGCATTGCGGTAGTTCCCTACAACAAGTCACACAGGTGGTGTATGTTCTTACATATGTAATGAACAGCACGTCAAGGGCATTGCGGTAGTTCCCTACAACAAGTCACACAGGTGGTGTATGTTCTTACATACATACTGAACAGCACGTCATGGGCATTGCGGTAGTTCCCTACAACAAGTCACACAGGTGGTGTATGTTCTTACATATATATGGAACAGCACGTCATGGGCGTTGCGGTAGTTCCCTACAACAAGTCACACAGGTGGTGTATGTTCTTACATATATTTGGAACAGCACGTCATGGGCATTGCGGTAGTTCCCTACAACAAGTCACACAGGTGGTGTATGTTCTTACATATATATGGAACAGCACGTCATGGGCGTTGCGGTAGTTCCCTACAACAAGTCACACAGGTGGTGTATGTTCTTACATATATATGGAACAGCACGTCATGGGCGTTGCGGTAGTTCCCTACAACAAGTCACACTGGTGGTGTATGTTCTTACATATATATGGAATAGCACGTCATGGGCATTGCGGTAGTTCCCTACAACAAGTCACACAGGTGGTGTATGTTCTTACATATATATGGAACAGCACGTCATGGGCGTTGCGGTAGTTCCCTACAACAAGTCACACAGGTGGTGTATGTTCTTACATATATATGGAACAGCACGTCATGGGCATTGCGGTAGTTCCCTACAACAAGTCACACAGGTGGTGTATGTTCTTACATATATATGGAACAGCACGTCATGGGCGTTGCGGTAGTTCCCTACAACAAGTCACACTGGTGGTGTATGTTCTTACATATATATGGAATAGCACGTCATGGGCATTGCGGTAGTTCCTTACAACAAGTCACACAGGTGGTGTATGTTCTTACATATATATGGAACAGCACTTCATGGGAGTGATGTATCTCTGCATGTGTGATGAATCTCTCTGTGTGATGGATCTCTGTGTGATGGATCTCTGCGTGTGATGGATCTCTGTGTGATGGATCTCTGTGTGTGATGGATCTCTGCGTGTGATGGATCTGTGTGATGGATCTCTGTGTGATGGATCTCTGTGTGTGATGGATCTCTGTGTGTGATGGATCTCTGTGTGATGGATCTCTGTGTGTGATGGATCTCTGCGTGTGATGGATCTCTGTGTGTGATGGATCTCTGCGTGTATGATGGATCTCTGCATGTATGATGAATCTCTGTGTGTGATGGATCTCTGCGTGTGTGATGGATCTCTGCGTGTGTGATGGATCTCTGCGAGTGTGATGGATCTCTGCGTGTGTGATGAATCTCTGTGTGTGATGGATGTCTGCATGTGTGATGGATCTCTATGTGTGTGATGGATCTCTGCGTGTGTGATGGATCTCTGCGTGTGTGATGGATCTCTGTGTGTGTGATGAATCTCTGTGTGTGATGGATGTCTGCATGTGTGATGGATCTCTATGTGTGTGATTTATCTCTGCATGTGTGATGCATTTCTGTAATGGACCTGTATGTGTGTGATGGATCTGCGTGTGTGATGAATCTCTCTGTGTGTGATGGATCTCTGTGTGATGATCTCTGCATGTGTGATGGATCTGTGTGTGTGTGATGGATCTCTGTGTGTGTTATGGATCTGTGTGTGTGTGATGTGTGACGTACCTGCACTCTGCTCCTCCCGTGCTATGATGATGGCTGTCCGGGCTGCCTCCCTGTACTGCTTCAAGGCCATGTACAGCCGGAACAGGTACTTGGCATCCTGAGAGAGTAAAGTAAGACATTGCAAAATATATTCTGGGTAACTACTGACACAAACTTGTTTTGTTTAAGCGTGCAAAACCCTCATAATCCAGACACCACAGATTCCAGTGAAATCCCAACTTTAACAAATCCTGGATTAACAAGTCAAGTTGATGGAGTAAAGTCTCGTAATGATATATCCCAGTGTTATGGGTTTTTGGACACTTAAGAAACACACACAGTTTTCTCTCTAATCAAATGAACAACTGTAAAACAGCTCATTCACTTTTGAAAGACAATCCTTTTTAAAAAAAAGCCATCATCTGAGTACTTATAATGTCTGTGTGATGCTACACCCCCAGTTATAGAGTGAGTAATCGCAATAAACAGGGCCGTCCGAAAACGTATGACGTCCCAAAACCTAGGATCCGCAGTATACATTTTCCGAACAGTGACTGTCTTGAAGCAATACAAACATTCATGTTTTAACGTTTCATGTGCTTACTTTGCCTACCACAAAAACAACAGCATAAACAATCTGGAGGAATCATCCTACTCAACTTTGTGACAGCTGGTCTCACCACAACATAATTCCTCATTTACATCAGCAAATCCTCATAACCCTGACATTTAGGTTAGGAGACATTTGTCCAAGTCCCTGAACTTACTCCCTGTGACACCTACATCATGGACACATACACACATGCTACACGACTACACATACTGATCGATAAGGCATAAGCTGCAACCTGACTGTTATGCACCCACTGACCACAAAACACTCATATTAACTCACCTTGGGCATGCCGTCAGTTTCTCCCATGAGGAAGTCAATGAGCTGATGGGTAAGCTGGTCATCATTGGCTCGTCCCACCGTCTCGATCGCCAGCTCTATTGCCTGACTGTCCTCTCCATTACATCTCAAGAAGTGCTTCATGGCCTGACAACAACACACGTACCCTATTACTGAGATGCAAACACAGCTAGTTGTGTTTGTATCAGTTCTACAGAGATTGACCCACGATCTGTTATTTGTTTATAGCTGTACACAGCAATATTCCAGCTATATGACAGGTCTATAGATAGTTAAGACCAGACTAGACAATCCATTGATTCACGTTGTCTGTTCAAAATCTCTTTGTTGAATACAGTAGGTTTACATCCAAAATCAGTGATTTTGGTCAACGCCACTTTGCAGAATCTTGTACAGAATTTCAGTTACATCATTTCATGTCAACGGGAGGAGAGCCCGATGTGATGCAAATCTCACACGTTTATTACATTGGTGAAACCCAAAAGCATGTGTATGGTGCTGACAAACCTAGAATCATAGCCTGGGCAAATCCAGGATTCAAAACCACAATTAAGTCTAGCATGCAAAAGGGACGCAACTCTGCACAGTGAATTGCGGCGCCTTAGATGACTGCACCATCTGTGCCTCCTTTCACCTAAATCAATGATACCCGAGAATTCCAACACATGGATTAAGCATGTCGTCTGCTAGACTCACCCTGGAGTATTGTCCGCTGAGGAGGAAGAACTTCCCAGACAGGTAGTGGTTCTTCTCATTCTCAAAGTGCACTGCTATACTCTGGTAGTCCTCGGGAGTGGCATCGGAACCTGCAACAGGATTCAGACTTGCAACAAACATAACTAACACTTGAGTGAGTGAGTGAGTTTGGTTTAATGCTGCTTTAAACAGTATTCCAGTTATATCACGGCATGTCAGCTTAATGTGGGAGGCAAGGCTGAAGCGATGCAGGTCTTAGACGTTTACCACTTCGGTGAAACCCACAAGCACGGGTATGGTGCTGACAAACCAAGAAACATAATTGGGGCGAACCGGGATTCGAAAACACAATCATAGGTTTCTGGCGTGCCCAAGGGATGCAACCCTGCACAGCGAATTATGGCGCTTTAGACGACAAGGCCACCCGTGGCCCCTGACTTGAAACAAAAACACAATAAATATATTTGCATTTAAGTAATAATCTACTTCCACAAATCATGGTACATGTGTATATGAATCCCTCAACTAAAACCACATATGATGCTTTGATGCCTGAAGGCAATAAAATGTCCACCTGAAACTACTCCATGAAAGAATATGTCTGGCTAGATCAATGTGACCGCCCACCTATGATGTCAGCGTAGATCTCCATCTGGTTGTGACTCTGGGCCAGCTGGAAGGCCTCATCATTACACTTGGACATCACCAGGAACTGGATGGCCGAGGCGTAGTCATTCAGCCGCTGGAAAAACCTGCATCACAGACATGGCAGAACTACAGCATGTGCAGGGGCTTTCTTTATGCAGCATTTTTTTCACCAAAACCTTTGGATGGTGGAAATATAAACAACAATAAAATCAAACCCTTGGTTATATTTTTTTGGCTGTTGTAAATATAAGGGTGGTAGGAAGAGAAAAATAAAGTCAAATGCTCTCTTTTTCTTTTGACATTTTGGGAATGTTCAATATTGCACAGAGTTTACATTAGAACAGAGCTGCACACAGTTTACATTAGAACAGAGCTGCACGGAGTTTACATAAGAACAGAGCTGCACACAGTTTACATTAGGACAACGCTGCACAGAGTTTACATTAGAACAGAGCTGCACAGAGTTTACATTAGAACAGAGCTGCACGGAGTTTACATAAGAACAGAGCTGCACACAGTTTACATTAGGACAACGCTGCACAGAGTTTACATTAGAACAGAGCTGCACGGAGTTTACATTAGGACAACGCTGCACAGATTTTACATTAGAACAGAGCTGCACAGAGTTTACATTAGAACAGAGCTGCACAGAGTTTACATTAGAACAGAGCTGCACAGAGTTTACATTAGAACAGAGCTGCACAGAGTTTACATTAGAACAGAGCTGCACAGAGTTTACATTACAACAGAGCTGCACAGAGTTTACATTACACCAGAGCCATGCACTGTGTGGGAATCGATGTGGCTATGACAAGTGAGCCTGTCATTGTGAGTGTTTCACTTGTCTCAGGCAGGAAACAGGTTCTAACGTAACATAAATAAGCATGAGTCAGATTGAAGCTAGAACATCAACAAATTGATGTGAAAATTCCCTGACTCCTCCACGGAATGAAGGAACACTGTATAAGGGTTACTCACTTGGCCACCATCTTTGCACCCTCTACTGACTGGGTTTCCTGCACAATCTTAACAGCTTCTTCTGGGTTTTGTAGAAATTCAAGGTTAATCCTGCAAAAGTTAAAAGGTTTAAGTAAAATCGTTATGCTTAAACAGAATTTTTCTCATTTTGAATTCAGGTTATAAATTAATAGTGATGACTAATATGGTCAAAGGGGAGATAATTACATCTATACATTTGAGATTATCTCCACTTGACAACCAGTGTCGAACCATGTTCACACAGAATATACATCACAGTTGCTAAAGTTTGATGGATAAAATCAGAGAACGCGAGCTTACGGGGAAATTTAGCTTTCTTTGCTAAATTCCTTATCAGGAGAGTAATGAACCCTGTACAATCATAGACGTGTCTAACAAGCATATATTTTATATTTAACTGTCTGATCTTATATGATCTTATTAAGCATAAGTGCACATATATTTGAAGATAGTATGTCCACAAAATACTTTACAGTTCTTTGAATTTGTAAGTTAATGTTGTCTTACACTGCAATGTCCTTTTAATTATAGAGTCTTGATTGGTTGGATGGTTTGTTGTTTAACGTCGCACTCAGCAATATTCCAGCTATATGATGACTGTCTGTAAATAATCGAGTCTGGACCAGACAATCCAGTGATTGACATCATGAGCATCAATCCACGCAATTGGGAGCGATGACATGCATCAACCACGTCAGCGAGCCTGACCACCCGATCCCATTAGTCGCCTCTTACGAAAAGCATAGTTGCCTTTTACGGCAAGCATGGGTTGCTGAAGACCTATTCTACCCCGGAATCTTCACGGGTCTTAATCAGCTAACAATATGGTCAAGTTTATCACTGTCCTTATCTTCAGTAGAGAAGATGTGCTATGGATTTATGCAAACCTTCATTTACTGTTAGTGGAATAGGAACAGCTGGAAATAAGCAATCAATGCTTGCTGTACAGTTTCAAGTTAATTCATAAGTCCTTATGAACATTTTTAACTAAATTCATACGTCGTGGGTATTAAAAGAACTCTGATCTTCACAGGTCTATAGAGTCTTGTTCAGACAAACAAATAGTAGACAAATACTGATCCACACCATTGGACACACTTTCAGCTATCACATCCTATAGTCAGCTGTTACAACAAGCATCCACATATCCCCATGGAGTCACAGTGACAGGAAAGCTATCGTTTACCAGTACGATAATGTATCACCGTAGCGAGGGTTCATGACATGGCCAGCTGGACGTACCTGATGACATGGTCCCACTCTTTAGCCATCTTGTATGCCTCTGCAGCCTCCTTGTATCGGCCATCAGCCTCCTTGGCCTTCGCGTACTGTGCGTGAATCTTCGGGGAGGTGATGTGTTGCAACAGTTCTCCCACCTTGTTCCTGAGGGAAAATACAATGGTAATGGTTTGTAAATATCTAACATGTCAGAAAATGGTCAAGAAGTAATGGTGCAGCATAGGCAGGTTGGATTGTATACACCCCAGGGAGCTAAGAATGAAAAGCAAGTGTATACTGATCTATTGACCAGGGTCCCACTTGCACAAAGCGATCTTAGCGCTAAGATTATTGTAAGCCTATGTTAAAGTATGGGAGTTACGATCATCTTAGTGCTAAGATCGCTTTGTGCAAGTGGGTCCTGGGTATTAATGTAGTGCTTTGAGCATGCTTTAGGGTATGGATTTGGTTCATCATCATCATCATCATCATCATCATCATCATCATGTTGTTGTTGTTGTTATTATTATTATCATTATTGAAAACACTTTCTCCCTAATTATCTTAACCGAACTATATTTTAGAGGCCTATATTTGTACATAAGTAATGTAATTCGTTAGTAGTTACCAAACATTTTCAAAGACTCATACCAGTTTTTGCCTCTGATGTAGACAGAAGCCGCCTTGTCGTAGTAGTGGCCTTGTTCATATAGAGTAGCTGCCTCTGTCCATTGCTGCAACATGGAGAAACTTGTAGAGGACATTCTGGTTCATGGTGATAGGACACTACAGAGTGTTACATGGACCTTGTTAACACTGATGCTGATGGTTTAGGTGGGATTATTGTATTAGTTCATATTTTAGTAATTTAAGTTATTCTCAGTCAAACATGTTTAAGGATACTTGGGAGTCCAAAATGAGTTTAAGACAACCGGGAATTTGACAGATCCGAGTGTAAATAGAAGGAATTCGCTGGGAATTCAAGGTCTGACTGCATTTGTCATCATTAGTTCTACACTGGAATTTTTAGGGTTTCTGAGAAACCATTTGACTTCAATATCTTTTGCGTTTATGGATATATATATGTTTATCTCATTAAAATCAGTTCTTAGTTCTCGCTATCGCTGAACAAAGATCTGAGGACATCCCATTACGGGTCACATCAGAACGACCTTTCATCCAACCAATCAGAGCATCGCTTACCAGATCATGAAAGTGACAGACGGAATGTGTTTTCTAATCATGCAACCACGAAATATTTAACACGGGGTATTCCTAACGACAGTTACAGGTTTTATGATTATATCCATACAATCTAGGCCATCTATATGCAATTTCAGAATGTTCTTCTTATCAGTTTTAAATTTTTAAAGGAGAATACGTCAAAATATGTTTCGAAGCGTAACCGCCAGTTTGAAACTAGTGTCGTAATGCTTGAGAAAGCTGTCTTCTGATTGGCTAATGTCGATTTCTTGTCAGTCATTTCATTGGTCGGTCAAAATTCGTGAAAGGTCGATCTGACGTGACCCGTAATGGGATGTCCTCAGATCTTTGTTTAGCGGCAGCGAAAACTAAGATCTGATTTTAATGAGATTGTATATACGGAAAACACACTGTGCACACTGTCACAGTTTGTTTTATGTTTAGAACTCTATACAACGTGCACACCGTTTCTTATGTTTTGAACTCCCCAAAAAAGTATTGAAGTCAATTCTTATAAATAAAAACGTCAAAGTAATAACTCCCCAGACTTCTTATTGTACCATTAAGACAAAAACACTGTAGACAACAACTTGAGTCAAATGCCACGGATTCACGCTTAATTTAGTTATATTTACATAACTACAGTTGTTGGGTAGCTGTCATCACAATTACCACAAGTATATACCTCAGGAACATACTTGTATATAAATATGTCCCCAACAAAAGTTTTTACATATTTGGGAATTGGAGGAAAGTATTTGCATAAAACCATTATTTGAATACAAATATGAACCCAAGGTATATTTTAGTAGCACCTGTGCCGACTCCAACAGTGTAACAACACAACATCCCACCTTCATACTCTCCAAGATGCCTGCACATTCCTTCTTCAGGCTCTTGCTGGACATCTTCATCGCCATGGCAACACCCCTGAAATAAAAGCAGTGAGCTATAATGACACATAATACATTAATATCTGAAGAGTAATCCCAATATAAACTGTAAGAGATTCAATGCTAGCAATCTTGAATGTGAGTGAGTGTGTGAGTAGTTTCATGCTATTCCAGGAAGATAGCAGGAACACCGGAGATCCATTACACAAAGTGACTGTAGCACTAAAGTGATCGTAACAGAATTATGACAAACGCTTCGTGGAACAGATCCCAGGCTTCATAGATTGTACCAATGTGGGCATTGAACCCAGGGCCTCGTTCCTCAAAGCGATCTTAGCACTACAGTGATCGTAAGCCTATGTTAAAGTATGGGACTTACAATCACCTTACCGTTACGATTGCTTTGAGGAACGGGGCCCTGGCCTCTAGCATGACGAGTGACTACTTCAACCACCAAGCTACCCTCCTGCCTCCAGTGCTCCATGTGATCTACGTACATAAACTATGACGAAAGTGAAGACTTTGTTATTCTGATTCTCCAAAACATTCTAACATTGTTTCTATAAGCTTCAGATCATGAGACCTTCTTTGACTTAATCATGAATACAGTTGTATCGCTTGTTATCATGAAATGATTCAAACTGTATCCTACATACTGTGCCAGTACTCAGAGAATAACTTCCCTTACAAGTCTTAGCCATATACTACCCATCATCCTTTTTCGAAGAAAATCATAAATAAGTGGACTTCCCAATCTCAAGAGGAGACACCATCTGAGTCAATCTGTCATGGGAAAGACATGACATAAATTGTCTATGACACCATGAACAACAGATAACTTAATCTCAAATATTTGTGACAATGCATTGATATGATACACGTCACGTCACAAACAAGACAAACAATTGTACATATAACAGCAGACTGTCAACATTATGATGATCAGTGAGAGTTACTGAAAATAATTGTTCACATCTAAATCAGTATGCCTATAGGTAAAACCAGGTCCTAACCTGCGTATGTCTCCAGTCCTGATAGACATGCGAGCAATGCCTGCAGCACAGATTTCAGTATACCTGTAGGTAAAACCAAGTCCTAACCTGCGTATGTCTCCAGTCCTGATAGACATGCGAGCAATGCCTGCAGCACAGATTTCAGTACACCTGTAGGTAAAACCAAGTCCTAACCTGCGTATGTCTCCAGTCCTGATAGACATGCGAGCAATGCCTGCAGCACAGATTTCAGTATACCTGTAGGTAAAACCAAGTCCTAACCTGCGTATGTCTCCAGTCCTGATAGACATGCGAGCAATGCCTGCAGCACAGAATTCAGTATGCCTATAGGTAAAACCAAGTCCTAACCTGCGTATGTCTCCAATCCTGATAGACATGCGAGCGATGCCTGCAGCACAGATTTCAGTATACCTGTAGGTAAAACCAAGTCCTAACCTGCGTATGTCTCCAGTCCTGATAGACATGTGACCGATGCCTGCAGCACAGATTTCAGTATGCCTATAGGTAAAACCAAGTCCTAACCTGCGTATGTCTCCAGTCCTGATAGACATGTGACCGATGCCTGCAGCACAGATTTCAGTATGCCTATAGGTAAAACCAAGTCCTAACCTGCGTATGTCTCCAGTCCTGATAGACATGCGAGCGATGCCTGCAGCACAGATTTCATCATGATCCCTTGCCTTCTCGTCCTTGGTGATCCCCTTCTCATAGTGAGACAGAGAGTTCATGTAGTCCCCGGTGAACTCCAGCTGCTGGGCATACTCTCGCGAGATGTAGGAGATCTGCTCCGGAGCCAGAGCCTTAGCAAGCTGCAGGGCACTATCCCAGTGAAGCAGGTCTCTGCGCATCTACAAGGAGAATAAGTTACCGTATATGACCGCAGATAAGCCCTCGTAGATAAGCTGAGGAATTAATTTGACCATTGAAATATGAAAGAAAATTATATGACCTGCAGATAAGCCGAATCAGGAAGTAAAAGGCAAAAAACACTGCGAAGTCAGACTGCAAGACATGTGCCAGTACTCGCAGATATATTCAATAATATAAGATGAAAGACGTTGTAATTATATTGAAAATGTCATTATTATTTCTAATAAAGATTTAACAAACCAGCCATCCACTCTCATAATGTGGGGGTACTGATGTTTGGACATTAGTAAATTGATGTGACAATTGTGTCCAAAATAAACTCACTCAGGAACTGCCAAATCACCTAACTGACTTACTACTTACTCACATTAAAAATAATGTCAGGTGAAAATAAACTCTCTGCTAGGTTAAGTAATAGTGAGTGAGTGAGTATGGTTTTACGCCGCTTTTAGCAATATTCCAGCAATATCACGGCGGGGGACACCAGAAATGGGCTTCACACATTGTACCCATGTCGGGAATCGAACCCGGGTCTTCGGCGTGACGAGCGAACGCTTTAACCACTAGGCTACCCGACCGCCCCTTGGGTTAAGTAATAAGACGAAAAGACCTAACATTCTCAATCTGCAATACATGACACATCCTTATCATCATTCCATCAGCTGAGAAGATATTAACATCCAACAAAGCGACTGAGTGAGTGATTTTGCATGGTTTCAGGACGTCAGCTGGACTGTACATGGGAGTATTCAACCTTTCTATGATGGATTAAACAACAAAGATTTTAGAAAAACTAAATTCCAAATAAAGAAACAAGGTGCTTAGTGCGCATGTTATTGCACAAGGGGCACACGTTAACAAATGCATATAATGGTAGCCAGGGGGCAGTTTGTAATGACACTGAGAAAGCAGAGCACATACCTCGAGGTCAGCCAGGGGGCAGCTTGTATAGACACAGAAAGCTGAGCACATACCTCGAGGGCAGCCAGGGGGCAGTTTGTATAGACACAGAAAGCTGAGCACATACCTCGAGGGCAGCCAGGGGGCAGTTTGTATAGACACAGAAAGCTGAGCACATACCTCGAGGGCAGCCAAGGAGCAGCTTGTATAGACACAGAAAGCTGAGCACATACTTCGAGGGCAGCCAGGGGGAAGTTTGTATAGACACAGAAAGCTGAGCACATACCTCGAGGTCAGCCAGGGAGCAGCTTGTATAGACACAGAAAGCTGAGCACATACCTCGAGGTCAGCCAAGGGGCAGTTTGTATAGACACAGAAAGCTGAGCACATACCTCGAGGGCAGCCAGGGGGCAGTTTGTAATGACACTAGGAAAGCAGAGCACATACCTCGAGGGCAGCCAGGGGGTAGCTTGATGCCAGGAAGAGATCCTGGGAAGGGTTGAATTCTCCAAGGAACATGGCAATGTAGCCAGACAGCAGGTTCTTGTCCTCAATCGACTGGAAACAGAACAGCAATACAAGTACAGTTATAGCCAAAGAGATCTAGTTCTTCCTGGATAACTTACATGGACAGTACATTGATGTTTCTGTGTGTTTTTAAATCATGCATGAAATATTACGAGTGTGACATCACACGCCGGATTCAATTCTCAAAACCAAAACAATAGAGCTCCACACAGTGAAGCGCAAGCACTGCGCAGAGTAAAGTGGCTTCAGTCTTCTTTTTTAAATCAGCCAAATCAAAGAGAAAGCTAAACACTAATTGCCAGATTAGAAGCCAGTGTTTATCAAAGTCTGGAATACAACATAAATATGCCAATCTCTCTCCTACTCAGGGTTCCTTGGAGCCATCCGAGTACTACAGTTTTTCCTGTTTCATTTTGGACGTGTCTACACATTTACATAAACATACGTCATGAAATGTTTAACTTTCATTGAGAAAATATCCTAAAACATGAAAAACTATTTCCATTTGCGTACTTATCATCCATGTCCTGTCATCGAAGCCCTACAGAGAGCTAGCAATACGGTCACTTTGATAAAGTGTAAAACTATATTGTCATGCACCTCACTGTCACAGTTGTAGTAGCATATCTATATAATTAAGCAAAACAATATGTGAAGCGCACTGAAAGGGTTACATTTCGCCTGTCTATTCTTATTTCAGAATAAGTGCGCTTGTTGACAAACAAGAGAAAAGTCTGGCCTACACCCGCGGTGTGGTCACCTGAGCAGAATCGAAATAAGGTCAGCAGAGCAGAGTAAGCTGAAGGATAATCGGCAATTGTTTTCAAACAAAGTTTCAGAATGCTCGACGTCCTGTTACTCTAAAAAATAGCACTGATTAGAAAAATCTGTGAGACAGCATACAGTAGGAAGTAGTGAAAAGTAAGAAAAGGAGTCTTCCGACTTATTCCATTAACCAACATGCCTCATTAAGCACCCAACTCCATAGTGCCCTTGTTAAACTTCGAGACCAATCAGAAGATAATTTTTACAGGTTCCCAAACTAAACCTGAAACTTTACATCACAGTTAATATTATTTTGAGAATATTACTACTTTCTACAGAAAACATAGCTCCCTAGAAAGGGTATATGATTTCTTAGTTTGAACTAATTCCGTTCTATTCCACTCGATCTCTTTGACTTGTGTATGATCTTAATAAATTCCCTGCCCTTGTCAAGTTTCCAAGCACCTGGGGCACTTATTACAGCAAATACAGTATCTAAAAGTCCTTGCCTATCCACCTAGGTTGGTTAATTACAAAATGACGACCTTTGTACTCACCTTGACCTTCTGCAAGGAGGTGACCATGCCAACATCACCGATGTTCCTGTACACTCTGATAGCTGGAAGAAAATAAGAACAAATCATTGGATGATTCCATCATGCTGAATGTTGTCTAGGTACTTGAGATGCCTTGTGGAAGGGAAGGATTTGTGACTCACCGAAGTCAAGGTCAAGGCTATGCAGCGCTGCCCTCCCCAACTCCACCCAGACCTCTTTCCTGTTGACATAGTGACAGAAGATCCAAGCATCCCGGAATCTGCAGGAAACAAACACCAGGTTACAGGGGCTCCTCAACAATCAAAATATGACATCATCACTTGTCAATCACAACATAGCTTTATCACAGTCTCGGGTGAACTTTCTTATCAGCCAATCAGCGCCTAGCCTTCTAAATTCTCTGTGAGATCAGGTGAAGCAGTCAGATCAGCATATCTAATTTCTGTATCATGCAAAACGTTCATAATTGGGGAGTTCCAAATATAAAAACATAAAATTGTTGGGACATTTCATAAATCCTGGACAAGGACATGCAATAGAAACATCACACGTTGTAACCACTTTGTACTTTGAGGTGAGGTGAAATGAGGTTTATTGTCGCGTCCAAGATTATTGCACTTATATAGCACCGTGCATGCACGTGTGTGTGTGGCTGCTTTTACTAGTCCGGACTGATGCCGATTTATAGTGCTCGCCCTCTGAGATACCATGCCGCAGTTTAACATGAATACCCCACTCAGACACAGTATACTGACTCCAAGCGGACCAGTCCTTGTTTTAGCCCCCTAATGCCAAGCACAGACAGGGTAACACCAAGTACCATCTTTAAACGTCTTTTGGCATGATGCGGCCAGGGATTGAACCCCAGACCTTCAGCTCTCCAGGCATACACTGTACCACTCAACCACAGAGGCGGTCCCAACTACTTGCCTGGGTTAGACAAGGGGTATCTAGTCTGTCCTCTAATCCAGGTGCAGGTGGTTTTTTGTTAGTTGTTAAACGCCGCACTCAGCAGTGATCAGTAAATAATTGAGCCTGGACGAGACAATCCAGTGACAGACATCGTGAGCATTGATCTACAAAATTGGGATATGATGACAACCATCAACCAAGTCAGCTAACCTGACCACCCGATCCCGTTAGTCGCCTGTTATGACAAGTATGGGTTGCTGAAGAACAATTCTACCCCGGACCTTCACAGTGTCCAGGTTCTGGTGCCTACCTTCTTAGCTTGATACACTGCTGGGCAGCAATTGAAAGCTGTAAAGTACAAATTTTATTGTCATTTTAACATATTGGTTTGTTGGGAATTATATAGCTAAATATTCTCCTTAAAGATATCCAACAATTTGTGTTCATATTGAAAAAAATATTTTATTATCAAATATTATACCACAGGGTCGAAAATGGCAGTAGTTTTAGAAAATATGAGTGAGTATGTTTTTATGGCGCTTTTAGCAATATTTTAGCAATATCACTGCAGGGACACCAGGAATGGGCTTCACACATATTGCCAATGAGGGACATCTAACCTGGATCTTTGGCATGGCAAGCGAATGCTTTAACCACTAGGCGACCCCATCACCCCGAGAGAAAATAGGAAGAAAAGGTTTGAATATATGATCAAGATGATACACAAGCAGAGATAATCTCCAGACACAGTGTTGGATAAAACTTACCTCAGCAGGTTTCAGATCCTGGGGATTCTCATGGAACACATGAGAGTGGGTGTTCAGCTGCAGGTTGCCAAGCTTTCCACTCTGTGTCTGCAGAGTTATCTCCCCATTGTGGAGCATGATCGGTATCTGGCCATAGGGCAGGCGTGTCTCTCCCACATACAGGACTTGTGAGCCTGGATGAAAACACAGAAATGTGAAATAACCATCGTCCATTAGTTGGATTCCATTGCGAAAACAGACATGTTTTATTATTATACGAAGACATTCATAAAGTTAGAAAATGTGAAATTCAAAATCAACATTATATTTTCAACATATTGTGGAATGAGGTACCTCCTTCTGGTTATCATTGATAATGCTTTAAATCATTGATTCAATGTATCAGGCAGCCCAGTATTAAAGAAAGTGGCCAATATGGTAGCTTATTTTACAGTTTCTTTTCATGTTCTTATCTCCTCCAAAATGACAGTAATGCATGAACAATGATCTAGTAGGTACAGTACATTGACACACTATCAGACAGTTCACTCATAATAAATCACCCAGTCCTTATTTCATTGACGTCTATCAACAGGATGGTGTACTGGAGACTTATTCTATATTCTGCACTTGAGGAATAGGGAGTAAGTGAGAGAATGGTTTAATGCCATTTGATTTAACATTTTTTTAGGTGTGTGTTGCAGTGTCTTATGTGGGAGAGCCTTAGCATTAAATGTTTATCACTTAAGTGAAAAATCACGAGAATGGGTATGTTGCAAACCTAGAAACATAATCAGGGAATATTCGGGATTTGGTCCAAGGATCCTAGGTTACTGGCATGAAAGATCACAACTCTGTACACTGAACTATGGTGCCTTACATGACTGGGGCATGCCTGCAGAGAAGAATAGAGTAATAAAAAGGACCTTATATATCCTTGGGTGCCTGCCTCACACTGCTTGTTAGTGTCAACACTGTGGTTCATGCACATACACTGTTAGTAAACATTGTATTGTTAATAAGTGCTACCAATGCATACAGGATATCCTATTGGTTTATACAACCCTTCAACAATATGTATATGATCTGAATGGGTCATACATTGACATACTAAGTGTATTTCTTTGTTTTATCAATAATTAAATAAATTTAAATTTTCCAAAAGTACGGCTGTATCCGACCAATTATATTTCTAGTTTGCACTGCCATGTGTCACTGTGTGACTTCTTTGAAAATATTACAAATGGCGATCAAATTCGTTCCCAACAATGCTATGGTCCTAAGGAAATCATGGGCAGTTGAAAGTGGAGTGAGTGAGTGAGTGTGTAGGGTTTTACACCGCTTTTAGCAATATTCCAGCAATATCACGGCAGGGGACACCAGAAATGGGCTTCACACATTGTACCCATGTCGGGAATCGAACCCGGGTCTTCAGCGTGACGAGTGAACGCTTTAACCACTAGGCTACCCAACCGCCCCTGTTGAAAGTGGAAGAAAACACAACAATCTCACAATACACATGCGAAGGCAAACAATACTTTCGCCCACACGGTGATTGTTTCCAGTAACAGAGGACCAAAATGTCATTATTTGCAGCCAGCAATATCTCATTTGTTTGCATGCAAGCAATATATTGCAGTACATACTTCTTGGCAATACACAGCCCCCCTACTTACTAAATTATTCTTATTAAAGTTATGTGTGCTGAAACTAATGGCAAGTACTTGTTTGAAAATCATTTGTAAAAATATTAAGCACTGCATCAAATGTGGTGAAAAAAATGTCATTTTTCCTGTAAACAGATGAAAATAAGCTTGACATCATCAGTTCAAGAGTGATGTAAACACAAAACCTGCAGTTGAGCAAACCAGACAAATCACCATCTCCTGCAGCCACACCTTGTGCCAATGTAACAAACTCAGTTAGTTGAACCAGCATCCCCGAACGTGTGCCCCACTCCGTGTGTAGAACTCCGTGGTGCCCTGCCCCCCTACTTACAGACTGACACCCCCATCCCGGGGGGCTCCATGAAGCCCCCGGAGTACATGGGAGTCATGATGTCAGGTGTACCTGTCACTGACTCTCGGCAGTACACGTACGTGTACAACTTCTCGCTGTCATACGCCACAAACACGCTCTGAAAAACAACCAGGGGATGTGTTGCTATTGACTGTACAACAGAGAACATTGTTCAATCTATAAAATATGATATATGTATCCAAAGTCTCTGACAATGAAGGTCAGAAAATTGTACAAGATATGTTAATGAAACTTTAAATGTATAGGCAATCATTATTATCACCTGTCACTGCTCAATAATGCACAGTATTTATCTTGAATGTGTGCAACTCTCTAGTATTCATGATTATGAGGTACTGTATAGTAGTACACAGGCTGAAGGCTTGAAAAACGAAACGAACAGGATTTGATTTGATTTGACAACTAAGGTTAATTTCAAGGTGTTTGTAGCCTTAATCTGATTGTGGTTGACGTAAATGATGTTCATATCAGCTAAGAGAGTGAATTATTAATCTGGGCTCATTCTGATATATTCCATGCGCGTAATACACATATATTTATGTATATACTTCATAAAACAGTACAGCATCTCTTTGCCTACCTTGTCCAACTGCCAGTTCTCCCACAGAACTCCCTTGATAGATGCTGAGAAGTTGGGGATGTCGATCACTGTGTCATTCACCTGGATCACATTAACACTGGATCAAAATACAGCTCATGTCACATGTATACAGTTCCCTCCCCATCAACCACAAACAGGTGTGCAAGTGTGTGCTGGTGTGTGAGAGTGGGTGTGAGTGTGTATGTGTGAGGGTTTGTGAGTGTGGGTGTGAGTGTGTATGTGTAAGGGTGTGTGAGTGTGGGTGTGAGTGTGTATGTGTAAGGGTGTGTAAATGTGAGTGTGTATGTGTAAGGGTGTGTGAGTGTGTATGTGTAAGGGTGTGTGAGTGTGGGTGTGAGTGTGTATGTGTAAGGGTGTGTAAATGTGAGTGTGTATGTGTAAGGGTGTGTGAGTGTGTATGTGTAAGGGTGTGTGAGTGTGGGTGTGAGTGTGTATGTGTAAGGGTGTGTAAATGTGAGTGTGTATGTGTAAGGGTGTGTGAGTGTGTATGTGTAAGGGTGTGTGAGTGTGGGTGTGAGTGTGTATGTGTAAGGGTGTGTAAATGTGAGTGTGTATGTGTAAGGGTGTGTGAGTGTGTATGTGTAAGGGTGTGTGAGTGTGGGCATGAGTGTGTATGTGTGAGTGTGGGCGTGAGTGTGGGCATGAGTGTGTATGTGTGATTATGTGTGAGTGTTGGCATGTGTGTGTTTGTGTGAGCATGTGGGCATGAGTGTGTTTGTGTGAGGGTGTGGGAGGGTGTGTGAGTGTGAGTATGCTTGTGTGAGGGTGTGTGAGTGTGGGTGTGAGTGTGTTTGTGCGCTGGTGTGGGCATGAGAGACAGCGGGTCTGTATTACGGTGAATGTTCAGTGTGAGAATGGGTACCAGTGTTTGTGTGAGTGTGAGCATGAGTGTGTATGTGTGAGTGTGTATGTGTGAGTGTGGGCATGAGTGTGTATGTGTGAGGGTGTGTGAGTGTGAGCATGTGTGTGTTTGTGTGAGGGTGTGTGAGTGTAGGTGTGAGTGTGCTTGTGGGGGGGTGTGGGGGGGGTGTGAGTGTGGGCATGAGAGTTGATTTGTGTGACGGTGCATGTTCAATGTGAGTATGGGTGCCAGTGTTTGTGGGAGGGTGTGGGTGTGTGGGAGGGTGTGGGTGTGTGTGAGGGTGTGAGTGTGGGTGTTGGTGTGAGTGAAAGTTGGTTTGTGTGACGGTGCATGTTCAATGTGAGTATGGGTGCCAGTGTTTGTGGGAGGGTATGGGTGTGTGTGAGGGTGTGAGTGTTGGTGTGGGCGTTGGCTATGACCTTTGCATGGACATGGGTGTGTGAAAGCATGTGTGTGGTCACATGTCTGGATGTGTGGGTAAGAGTATGGGTGTGGGTCAGGTTGATGTGTGCAGTCACGTGTCTGGATGTGTGGGTAAGAGTATGGGTGTGGGTCAGGTGGATGTGTGCATGTGTGTGTTATTTCAACTGTGATTTCCTAATCCTTAAATGTATGAGCAGGAGAATGTAGCTCATCACCACAGTCAGCAACATAATAGCAATGCAAAAGTGAAACCAGGGATTGATAGCCTGAGCACCAATCCATGCTCTCATGGTGTAAGGACCATCTATCCCCTACGCCATGCAGCTCACACAACGAGCACGGGTCTTGGGGGCTCATTCTTCCCTGGAATCCCAACAGGACTAACAGACTAAGATTGCAGTCTGCAACTTAAGCCACTAGTCCAAAGCTAGTGAAATACTGTTCAATTTGATGAGCTCAGCTAACAATAGTCCACATTACCCTAAATGTTACAGAAAAAGATGCTAAGAGCCAAGTTTAGCAAGTAGTCTCAAACGTGTTTGGCACAGGCTGAGAAAATAAAGACCTGACGTCAATGATCTTACTGCATTATAGACATAGCCATCTGTCTTCTCATCCACAAACACTAGCCGGGTGCCGCTGGCGTCGGGGAAGAGCTTCCTGATGCCTGCCACGTGACGGTACTCCACAACAAACTGCCAGTCCTCAATGAAGAAATAGCGGACATCTCCTCTCTAAGTCAACAGACAAAAATAAATAAAGCAGCTGTGTCACAGAGAGTCTGTTCATGCACATTTGTCATCAAACATTGCATCTGATTCATTTTCAATTTAAAACTGGTAATAGTCCCGAGGTTTCAAGCCAAGGATAACTATCTTCTTTGCTATTTGTTAGTAATAAGCAAAAGTACAGAAAATGGAAAATATCCTTTTTGATTCAAGTTTGAAAAGGAACAAATAATACATTGCTTTTAGATGATTTTTTGCAAAATGAATATGGATGAAGAAAAACTCCTCTGGCCTGGACTAACAAACAAATCATTTTCAAAGTCAAAGTCTTTTATTTTCTGCAAACTTGGATATCATCAAGATATTACACAGATTTGTAATACAATTATGTAATACATTATCATGCCTCATGGAAAAACAGAAAACTGATACTGAAAATGACCATTGTATCATGCAAGCTTCTATGAAATGGTTCAGCTGTCTTGCTGTATGATACATACATCGGTGCCATAGATGAGGAACTCTGGCGTCATGTCATGGCATGTGATGCGAACATCTCGGTCATCCTTGCCGGGGAACAGTCGGGTCTCCCGCTCATCAGTAGCAGCAGTTGTCTCCCCTTCAATCTGCACACACATCAGGATAAAAACAATCACCTTTATATATACAGTTAAGCTCATATCTGACCTCTGAAAATCTTTTGGTCTCAGTCATAATAATCATGCTCTAAATTTCGTATTGCTGACTACCATCCCATCCCTACATACCTTACCCTCACCTAAACATCCATTACCCTACGCTACCCGACTGACCTAACACTCTACCCTACCTGACACACACAACACCCTACCCTGCCTACTCACCATGCATGCAGCATCTATACCCAACCCCAAAAGCACAAGCACTACACTAGCTACCCTTCCCTGCCATACCCATCTCATCCAATCCCTATGCTATCTTACCCATCTCAACCTTACGCAATCCATCACAACCCTCCCCAACCCATCCCTACCTCACTACCGCCATTCCTACCCAAACCAGCCACTACCCTACCCTACCCTACTCTACCCACTCACCATGCCACCCCACCAAACGCATCAAATCCTGTCCCTACCCTATGTTTCCTACTCACCAAGCTAGCCTACTCTACCCTACCCAACCACCACACTACCAAACCAATCCCCTCCCTACTCATCCTACCTACCTACCAACCTACTCTACCCAGCCTGACCATAAACTCCCATCCACTACCATCACCCTATGCTACCCACCCACAACCTAGCCCTACCATAAACCCCCACCCACTACCATCACCCTACGCTACCCACCCACAACCTAGCCCTACCATAAACCCCCACCCACTACCATCAACCTACCCTACCAACCCACAACCTAGCCCTACCCTAAACAACCAACCACTAACATCACCCTACGCTACCCACCCAAAACCTAGCCCTACCATAAACCCCCACCCACTACCATCACCCTACGCTACCCACCCACAACCTAGCCCTACCATAAACCCCCACCCACTCCCATCACCCTACGCTACCCATCCACAACCTAGCCCTACCATAAACCCCCACCCACTACCATCACCCTACGCTACCCACCCACAACCTAGCCCTACCCTAAACACCCACCCACTACCATCACCCTATGCTACCCACCCACAACCTAGCCCTACCATAAACCCCCACCCCCTACCATAAACCCCCACCCACTACCATCACCCTACCCTACCCAACGACAACCTAGCCCTACCCTAAACACCCACCGACCACCAGAAACCATCACCCTTCGCTACCCACCCACAACTTAGCCCTACCCTAAACACCCACCCACTACCATCACCCTACCCTACCCAACGACAACCTAGCCCTACCATAAACCCCCACCGACCACCCAATACAATCACCCTACCCTACCCACCCACAACCCAGACCGACCCTAAACACCCAGCGACCACTCAATACCATCACCCTACCCACCCACAACCCTGACCTACCCTACACACCCACCGACCACCAATTACAATGACCCTACCCTACCCACCCAAAACCCTGCCCTACCCTACACACCCACCGACCAGCCACTACAATCACCCTACCCTACCCTACCCACCCACCACCCACTACCCGTCACTCTACCCTACCCATCACTCTACCTTACCCATCCACCACCCACTAGTCTTCCCTGACCATCCACCACCCGCTACTCTACCCTACCCATCCACCACCCACTACCCGTCACTCTACCCTAACCATGACTCTACCCTACCTATCCACCATCCATCACTCTACCCTACCTATCCACCACCCAGCACTCTACCTTACACATCACTCTACCCTACCAACTACCCATCACTCTACCCTACCCATCCCTCTACCCGACTTATAACTCTACCCTACCCATCCACCACCCACTACTCATCACTCTACCCTACCCATCCACCACCCACTACCCATCACTCTACCCAACCCATCCACCACCCACTACCCATCACTCTACCCTACCCATCCACCACCCACTACCCATCACTCAACCGTACACATCACTCTACCCTACCCATCCCTCTACCCTACTTATAACTCTACCATACCCATCCACCACCCAGTACTCATCACTCTATCCTACCCATCCACCACCCACTACCCATCACTCAACCGTACACATCACTCTACCCTACCCATCCACCACCCACTACCCATCACTCTACCCTACCGATCCACCACCCACTACCCATCACTCAACCGTACACATCACTCTACCCTACCCATCCACCAACCACTACCCATCACTCTACCCTACCCATCCACCACCCACTACCCATCACTCTACCCTATCCATCCACCAACCACTACCCACCACCCTACCCATCACTCTACCCTAGCCTTCCACCACCCACTACCCATCACTCTTCCCTACATATCCACCACCAAACTCTACCCTACCCATCACTCTACCCTACCCATCCACCACCCACTACCCATCACTCTACCCTACCAATCCACCACCAACTACCCATCACTCTACCCTACCCACCCACAACTCACCACTCTACCCAACTCATCCACTACCCATCACCCTACCTACCCACCATCAATCACCCTACACTACCCACCCACTACCCATCCACCACCCACTACCCTTCACTCTACCCACCCACAACTCACCACTCTACCCAACTCACCACTCTACCTAACTCATCCACCATCCACTACCTATCACCCTACTTACCCACCATCAATCACCCTACCCTACCCATCACGTAACCATCACAAACACCTACAACCCACCATATGGAGCTGCACTTTGCCTTCAAAGCTCACTGCAGCGTAGTCGCCATTCAGACTGATGGACTGCACTGTTCCCAGGTACTCCCGGTCCTTCAATCTCTGGGGACCTGACACAGAGAACCACAAGATACAAATAGTCAGAACCAACATCAATCTATCCAGGGCATACACATGTTATTCAATGAACTTGCCTACAGATAAAAACAGACTAGATCCTAACAAAATGTTTTAAAAATTGGTGCATACACACTGGTTTCTGCATATGTTTTAGAAATGGAGATAAAAATGTTTCATGTTTGGAAACAAATGAAAGCAAAACATAAGATTTTTCTGAAAGATGCTCTTTCTGACAGCATAAGAACAATCAGTTTTTATGTTGCTTAATTGTTAACAGCTAACAATACGGTCAAGTTTATCACTGTCCTTATCTTCAGAAGAGGAGATGTTATGGATTTATGCAAACCTTCATTTACTGTTAGTGGAATGGGAACAGCTGGAAATAAGCAATCAACTCTTGCTGTACAGTTTCAAGTGAATTCATAAGTCCTTATGAACATTTTTAACTAAATTCATACGTCGTGAGTATTAAGAGAACACTGACTTACCATCATCTCCAAGCAGATAGAACCAGGCTCTGTTGTTCATCCCCACGGCAACATGGTACTGCCCAATTCCAAGAAAGGACGGTTCCACCTCAATGGCTATTGTAATGGGTGGCTCCTGAAAGAACACATTTGGTTACAGATGTTGTTGACAAGTTGCAGTCAAGTCTCCCTAGATTTAAGTTGCTACGTAGAGGGCTGCATACATACTTTGGTGACTAGGTCGTCGATAGTAACCTCCAGCAGTGATGTGAGATGGGCGATACGTGTCTGAGTGACCGCGGCCAGCATGGGCAGCCGAGCCAGGTACACATGCAGGTTACCCCTCTGAGTGGACACAGCTAACAGTTGACCATCGTCCGTCCAGCCAATCTTGTCCAGCCCCCTCTCATCGTCAAGTGTGATGATAGCGTACATCTCCTTCAAGTCCGACAGATCATGGACCTTGATGCTAGAAACACGACAATCATAGAAAATCAATTGGTGGACATGGTCAGTAGATTAACATTGTTGCAAGGGAGATCAAATGAATTTAAATGCAGATGTACGTATGACTGGATCAGAGAACTTGAAAACATGTGGTCGATGGTGTAAGCATTTCCCACTAACATTATGACATCACAAATATTATGCTATATTATATATACCGCACTTATCCAGGTACTAGTACCTGCTCAAATGCGGTTTTATTTGTTCCCTGACCATTCTGACCATCTGATCATCTACCATCGGACGAGTGGGTTCTTTTGAGAGCACAGGGTGAATGTACTATACACTTGGGATAGTGAAAGCACTGTTAGGACCTGTAAACATTGTTGGTCACAAGGATGAATAACAACCCAGTCACTTGTGTGATATGACCTCAGCACCTGGGACTTGCTTCCCTGGCATTTTTGACCGCTTGCCCACTCCGCCCCCTTTATATCAAAGTAAACTTGAATAAAAACCATTTCTTATGGCTTCTAACAGTTAATGCCTATAAGTATTCAGACTGTCAAAACTAGTACAGAACATCTCTTTGTTTTCTAGACCACCTCCGTGGTGTAGCGGATAAAGCATCTATTTTCTGGAGAACAGAAGTTCATTGATTTGATCCCCACCACATCATACCACTAGACATAAGAAGATACATGTTGCTGCCCTGCCTGGCACTCGCCTTTAAGGAGATAAAAGAAGGACTGGTCGGCTTGGTGTCAGTATACTGTGTCTGGGTGGTTAAGCTGCAGCCTGATATCTCATTGGGCTAGCACTATAGTCTCGACTGAGACAAGCAGACACATGCATGTAGCTGGATAAGTAAAATAATCTTGAACATGACGTTAACCCCATTTCACCTCATCTTGGTTTCTCTGGCAGAAATATGATAAGAAATAAACGACCTACCAGTTGTCTCCACATGAAGCTGCCTTGTTGAGGGACGTGGAGATGGCGATACTTGCAAGGCTGTCCTTGTGGTTCCGAGCCTGGAACAGCTCCTACAAAACACAGCCAGGAAATAATGAATTAGTCACAATTCAAAAACACATTCATTATTTTGATTTCAGGTGGTTTTCATCACTGGAGGATTAACTGACCATCACATTTCATAAAACCAAACATAGCATAAGATACACAATTGTTCTATTTCATTCTATATAGAGACTAATTTGATAATTTTCAATTGACATAAACCATGATAACCGATTATTATAACCTCAATGAATTATATGCAAAATAATAAACCAAATTCACCGTAATATGCACCCAGCATGCCTAGAAAACTGACTAAGGGGAGCGCTTGTTCAAACCTTTTTCAGAGATTGAGTGGTAGTGAACAATCGTATTTTAAATGTTGATGAAACAAAAACGTTTTCGATTATTTATAGTAACAAAGCAATTATATGCCCTTCTGCTGTTTCTGTAAAACACATATGAAATGTACACAAGGAAATATAAACTTTTTGGTCTTAGTTGGGGGCACTTATTACAAGTACTTGACAAGTGGTGAGTGAGTGAGTTGGGCTCAATGCCTCTTTTAACAGTTTTCCAGTTATGTCAAAGCGTGCAAGCTTGATGTGGGAGGAAAGCCCGATGTGATGCATGTCTTGGACATGTACATCTTTGGGGAAACCAACAAGCAGGGGTATGGTGCTGACAAACCTAGAAACATAATCGGGGCGAAAAAGGATTTGAACCCACGATCATAGGTTTCTGACATGCCCAAGGGACAAAATCTCTGCACAGTGAATTGTGGCGCCTTACATGACGAGGCAGCCAACGCCCTTACAAGTACATCAGGGTGCTTAAAACGGTGAATATACACTCTTTAACATTTCAAAAAATAAGATGCTCATTTTGAAACACCACAAACACAGTAAACTGAGTCTAAAATCTGAACACTTTTGCAGGTTGTAAATATTTCATTTGGGTGACATACATCATGACAGAAGTATATAGACGTTCACTGAAAGAGAATATCCTCAATACCATAGCAAAACAACAAAGAACCTAAACCACTTTGTGCAGATACTCAAGTTGACATAAAGCAAGTCAGGAAATACAGTGGATTATCAATAAATGCATCACTCGAGTGACCAAGAGTGGACAAAAACTATGCAGTCTGTGATGAACGTAAAGTATCCGTTCACTGTTGAACATCACCAAACTACATGTGACTTCGTGATCATGTCCCCTACTAAAGTGTGTGAGTACCTTTACCAGGGATTCATATTTTATTGTGGCCATATTTTAGCTATTTGTATGAAATATCGGCCATATTTCAGCTATTCATGTTATTTTCACCATAATTTGGCTATTCATATGCTATTTCAGCCGTATTTTAGCTATTCATGTTATTTTCGCCATAATTTGGCTAATCATATGCTATTTCAGCCATATTATAGCTATTCATGTCATATCAGCCATATTTCACTTATTCATATGCAACAAATTCTCAAACATAAACATTCATACAAATAAATTATAATTCAGAAACAATCAAACCAATTTGAAACACTTAATTGAACTTGAAGTCATAACCTTCAAAGTATGAAAGAACACAAAATGACAATCACTTGAAATCTTATTTTGATTATAAACTGATCATTTCATAAAAAGTTACTCAGTCAACCTGCTCAACCACATGTCAGTCATAATGGTTACCATGGTAACTCCAAAGCAAGCCACCAAAGCATCTCTATATGGCAGCCAGCCTCTATATCTCCAGGGCTTGCATTTTGACGAACCTACACTAACCCATGGATCTTTTCCCATGGTCCTCACAATCTCCAATTGCCTGCACTTGATTTTCATTAGGTAATTTGATTTACTCTGCTTCTCAGTGAAACAGACCAATCAGAATGTGAGTTACCAAACAGCCTCAACATTGGCCTGGCAATTTTAACACCATGGCATCCAGTCCCATTGATTACGATACAGTTCGCGACAAAATCAACATTGAAAAACTGACTGACACACAAAAGAAATCGCTCAAAATTCTTTTTGCTGGAAAAGATGTCTTCATGTCCATTACAACTGGCAAAGGAAGGTCCTCCCTTACCCATTTCACTTTACCTTATTTTGAGGTTTGATTGCTTGGTTTAAAATGTTAAGGAAAATCAGAGGTGGGTAATTTGAGATCACAAGAACCACATGAATGGGTGAGTGAGTGAGTGAGTTGGGTTTAACACCGCTTTTAACAGTATTCCAGTTATATCACGGCATGTCAGCTTAATGTGGGAGGAAAGCCCGAAGTGATGCAGGTCTCAAACGTTTACCACTTCGGTGAAACCCACGAGCACGGGTATGGTGCTGACAAACCTAGAAACATAGTCGGGGCGAACCGGGATCATAGGTTTCTGGCGTGTCCAAGGGACGCAACTCTGCGCAGCGAATCGCGGCGCCTTAGACGACTGGGCCACCTGTGCCCCAACCACAAGAATGGATCCAAGGGTAAGTGTAGCTTCACTGAAATGCGAGCTCTAGAGATATAGAGGATGTATGGCAACAAAATATACAAATAATTTGTCTGTTGCATCATATTGAATAATTCATTTCTATTTTGAACAAACATGCTCTTTTACAAAGTGCAAAGCAATTTGTGTATGTCACATGTCTCTGTTATCTGTGAATAACTATGTAACATGCACCAAATTCAAACCTTGAATTCCACAACATAGATATCAACATACATACCTCGGAGACAACATGTAATTTGCCTCTTTTGTCAACAACCTGTGGTTACAAGTGATTATTCATCGTCTTTAGGTCAGCATTTATTTGTTAGTCAATAACTTTACAAAATATCAGGATTCCAACAGAATTCATGCAATAAATACATGTGTATCAACCCCTATCATGTTTATTTGCGACTCTTTTACTTTTTTATGTTTCATTTCATTCGAATATGAATATGTTTGTAAAAAGATTTTAATATACCCGGGTACACAATTTGTCTGTCATGGATGCAGATATTATAGATTATCACATTGCCTGACAGCATGCAAGATAGAACACAAACAAGTGTTCCCCAGAAAAATTAAAGACATATCATTACAGGAATTTTAAATCAAATTCCTGAACAGAAACTGATAATGTTTGACAAACAATTGTGATGCTGATATTCTCTACTGATCCTGAACAGATTCAACTGTATACCACCTTGCTGCTAACATACAGCTAAGGCCATCTGTATTGGTGGGTGTTTTCCTCCTCTCCCATTGCTCTAAATTAGTCTCTCATGCTAAATAATTTATCTTTTATATCAAACCATTTAAGTGCTAGAATATTTTTTTAGCTCTACCTTGAAACAATTAACAAATTCCCGGTTCATAGTAAAAGTGTAATGTATTCACAAGCTCCCCACAGCAATTGTCTGTTTGTGGAGCTCTCTCTATCAATCTTCCCGAGGCAAGGGAGATAACCGACCATAAAAGTCCAGTTTCTATCCTGCCGAAATAGACTGAAGTTACAGAGTCATAGTTTCGCTGGATTAATGAGCCTATGCATAGGAGGGCTGTTACGAACTGTATCCATTCATGAATTGAATTCGTTATTTGTGGCCACTTGAATCAAATATTTATGTATGCAAGCATGTGCATTTACATCAAAATATCCATAAGAACATATTATGTGCATAGATTTCTTCAAAAGACAACACTCTTATGCTTTTTAATTTGACAGTATTGTGGTCACTGGTCATTGTTGCATTTGAGCAGATACTACTACCTAGATAAGTACAGTATACAGCTGTAAAATATATTAAGAATTAACAAACCATGTCAAATAATTTATGTTGTTATTGCTTCACTGAATATAACAAATAATACATCAGCTGCTGACTTGTTATTGTATTCGTGAATCAATATTTGTATTCGTTACCCTATATTCGTGAGAAGAATCATATTTGCCTCATAGTGTATTCGTTGCAGCCCTCATGCATAGTCCAATCAAAATCGCGTAACCGTGCAGATTTCGGGCGCTTACCGGATTTGCAAAGTACGTGAACCGCCAACGTGGCATCAACTGATATTTTCCAAATCTTTTCAAGTTTTTAATCATGGTGTTCACGTGATTTGATGCACTTCGCAAGTAATCATCGTTTAATCACAATATAGATTTTGATTATCGATCAGATCGTACTGACTGGGCACCGCCATTTGGTATGAAGCAAATGCAAGTGATATGGGAGGTGGAATCTGATTGGTCAAAAGGAGTGACATAGAAGGGACATAACTCGTAATAGGCACTGGTGGCGCTACGATCGAGCCCAGAATTTCTAGCCCTGTTCGGCAAGGGTGGAAACTGGACTTTTACAGTCAGTTAACTCCCTTGCCTCGGGAAGATGTATTATCCCTCTCACCAGTCACAACTGCCCACTGTGCATGCAGTTAAAATTGATGCCATGTAGAAATTCACTGTTTAAATACCTCTGGACTTTAGAAAATATGAACTTAAAAAACAATAATTTAACAAAATAAAGACAGTTTCCCAATTTGTATCATAAGGACACTTAGTTTGGAATCCAAGATAAATCTCTGGCAGCATACAATTAGATAAACAAAGCATGTCATATTATGAGGTATAGGACTACTTTGAACACAACACTACCACGCAGACAATATGATCAATATCTAAAGTACTCATAGTCATGAAGAAGTACCTGGTATTGCCATGGTTTGGACTTTCTGATCAATCATGCTTAATATCTGGAGACAGGCCCAAATCAGGTGTATTTCCAAATTATTGTCTCTCGGGGAACACTTAGGACAACTCATGCACATTCAAAGTTGACATGATTACATATGCGTACACACATTGACAATATGGATTTAAAATTAAGACACCCCCCCCTTCTTATGCATATCGAAAATATTTGTTTTGACGTTTACTGAACGATTGAATTAATGTCAGCTTGGATAATCTAAAGGCATCTGTTTGGGTTGTTGTTTTTTCAGTTATAATCAAGCTGTGTTGGCTGCCTGTAAATAATCAAGTCTGAACCAGGCCAACCAGTGGTTGATATTGTGAGCAACTCGTCACACTGTTGAGGTATTATGACACACACATGAACCAGGTCACCAAGACTGACCCACCTGATCCATTTAGAATGTGGAGCAAAGGTTGCTTGGAACATATTCTCAACTACTTGTAACAAACTCTAATAGAGTCCTCTACTACGGGAATGGGTGGTCAGGCTTGATGACTTGGTTGATGCATGTCATGGTATCCCAATTGCGTAGTTCAATGCTCATGATGTCAAGCACTTGACTGTCTGGTCCAGTCTCGATTATTTACAGACCAACGTCATATAGCTGGCATATTGCGGAGTGTGGTGTTTAACAACAAACAAACAAATGCTGGGGAGGGAGGTTCATTGACAGGACCAACATAAAATGATTCTAAAATAACAGGTCTGACTGATAACTGCCTTATAGAACCTGAAAAGGGCATAATGTCTGAACTTTTTGTTTTATTATATCTTTCCTTTGTTAGAACTTGAGACCAACTTTACTGTAACATAGCTTTCATATAATATATGACATAAGTGAGTGAGTATGGTTTTACGCCGCTTTTAGCAATATTCCAGCAATATCACGGCGGGGGACACCAGATATGGGCTTTACACATTGTACCCACGTCGGGAATTGAACCCGGGTCTTCGGCGTGACAAGCTAACGCTTTAACCACTAGGCTACCCGACCGCCCCCATATATGACATAAACAGAACACAGTCCCCCTTAAGCATGGTAAGGAATTAGCTTTTAGGTAATGCCACCTTGAGGGCATATTACCTTCGGAAATCAATATGTTTGTTTGTTGTTTTATGCCGCACACAGTAACATTCCAGCTATATGACGGCGGTCTGTAAATAATCGAATCTAGACCAGACAATCTAGTGATAGACATCATGAGCATCGATCCACGCAATTAGGATTCGATGACATGCATCAACCAAATCAGCGAGCCTGACCACCCAATCCCATTAGCATGGGTTGCTTTAGACCTATTCTACCCCTGATCTTCACGGGTCTGGAAATCAATAGAATTAACACAGGAATGATACAAAGGTAGCTGTATCATGTATCAGATCACAACATGTACATTCGCAATACATTGATAAAGCCATGAAACGGGATACCCTTTCTTCACATTATCACAGCTCTTTATGTCCCCAAGATAAACCATTCACAGCGTTAGAAATGAAGTTTATTTTCACCAGTCAGGAAAAAAACACTTGCCGTCCACCTAATTGTAACCATGGTAACAGTCCACGAGGAATGTCCCTAGACTTCCTGAAATTTAGTCTCAGAGTTGTGGACCAATGTTAATTTGACTGTCATTCTCAAATTCCCATCCAAATGAACACATCTACCAGCAGTTTCATGACCACACAGTACTCACCTGCCCAATCTCCTTCAAGTGGGTGGAAATCACAACAAAGTAGCCATGAGAAAACCCAATCAAGATGTAACCATCTCCATACCTGAATAACAGAAGAATTGGGCATATTTGTGTCACTCAGCTGCAGACACTGTTTTCATATACCATTTGAACTCTATCCAAATTACTGCATAAATGAAACTGTGAGAATGAGGGTTCTGTAACCTGGGCCTACAGGCTAAACACATTTGATATTTACAGATGAAAATAAAAATGCAGCAAAGAGGGTTTGGGTGATCCTGGTTAGGCTCATCATCAGCTCAGGGCCCTTGTCCTCTCTACAGGCAGCCCAGACAGCCAATGGGACTTCTCCACGGAAGTGCTCCCTAGTCATATTATCATTATCATTATCATTATCATATTATCATTTTCATTACTGCATAGCAGAAACTGTCAGAATGAACTGAATAAGTCTTCTTCAACTTCAAAATTTGATATCCATAAAAAGAATTGTAAACAGTTTTGGTACAAAAAAAACACCCTAATAATCTGTAATTTGGAATTATAGGGACAAATGATTTTGTTAAATCCCATGTGAATGCAGTGTCCAGCAACTGACCACTTGTATGAAATGATGCTCCCATATCTCTGTTGGAAGGCCAGCTCGATGGGGTTCTCGGGGTCATTGATGTTGTACAGGAACAGAGTCTTCTTGCCCACAACTACACTGACCTGGAACAACAGACACAACCTTCAACACAGGAACAACATTGTAGTACCGAGCAGGAGAGACTAGAGCTGGAGTGGGCAACAACTCGCCTACACACATGCACTGTCAGTTTAAGGTTGAACCGACCCGTTCTGCATATCTAGCGGGTTAGTAAATCGCAGATAACTTGAAAACATTTCCCACTGCCACTAATGCCACAACACAAGGTTTCACTATTAAGGGTGTGCAGTATTATCGGTATATCAGTAAATTAAGGTTAAAGCGATCTTAGCGCTAAGGTGATCATAACTCCCATATCTTATCATATATTTATGACAGTCGTAGCGCTAAGGTTGCATTGTACGACACCCAGGAGTAGGTAACTATATATAGGTAATTTATCACCTGCCTTAAACTCATGCAATTTAAAGAGTCTACTCTCATGACATCAAGCTCAAATAATCAGCTAATATCTAACTAACCCTAGATAGGAGACAAACACATGGCAACAGAAAACATCAAATCTCACACAAGCACATGGACAGGCGTTATAAAGATTATGATGTGTTGGTAAATATTCACTCATATAAACCGTACAGTGTTTTGCCCAATGGCGCTTCTCTCATCCCCCTTCATCTCGGAGAAGTCTATCTCAGCAGGGTCAGCCCTGAGAGTGGCCTGTCTGAGGGTGTCACCATCAGCGTTGCTGATGGAGATGGTCTTGTCCTCGCTGCCCAGGGCCAGCAGGTTCTCGGCACTCCATGCACCACAGGTGATCTTCTTGATGTGCTTCCCAATAATAGGAATTTTACTGAAAAAATGGCAGCAAAGAACTGAAAAAATTCAATCAGATCCTCAATCTTATTAAATCAAATCTTTTGTCCGAAACAATACTTTGAATACAGATCTGTGGTCAGAAGACACTTCCAGAAGAGGTTGCATCAGAGTTGAGACGTCTAAATTCTCAAGTTTTCTCCAGCCTGTATATCTAACAAAGTCTGGACCAGACATTCAAGTGGCCACCCGATCAATTAAGTAGCCTCTTACAACAACTTCCTGGGGAAAAATGCTAACCCAGAGTCTCCACGGGGGAAACAGATACTGGGAGTCACTCTTAGATTCCACTAGTCGAGGACCAGTGTCTACAAGTGATAAGATACAACTTTACAAGGGCTGTACCGTGATGTCTGATGATTGTAGATCATGAGATTCCCCTTCAGTGTACCGACAGCCAGTTGGGGGCCGGTGTTCGACCACTTCAGGAAGGTCATGGTGTCTCTGGAAACAGCACACAATTTGAGCATTAAGATGATTTCTCACAGCTGGTATCATTGTCAAAGGCTGATATTCTCCCTATCATGTCTCCTCATCAGTCTCCATGACATAGATGTTGATACTATATGAGGAAACTCTTGCAGAAAAAAAATCAATTCTCTACCACTCTAACACGTCTCCACATACTGGCGATGAGAAAGAGAATGATGTGGCATAGGGTGTCAGGTGATCAAACCACTTAGGTCAGGACACACTTCAGGTCGCACGTGATTGCAGTGCATAACCCATTTGTTTGGGTGGTGACTATGGTGATGCGAGGGTTGTTAGGGTGAAATATTTTTAGAAGCTGAAAACTTTGTTTGGGGGTGTTTCCACATCAGTATCAAAAGAAGAAACGCAATGAATTTAAAATGAATTATACTTTTGTTTCTGAAATGTACAGATAAGTAGCAACAATTGAACCCCAATATACAAAAGTAGAGAAACATCAAGATTTTGATGATGAAAATGGTAAAAAAAGGGCCATTTCTTGCTGCTTAGATATGTCACTAATTCAACAATGTACGCGAACAGTATATGTATAACAGCCAAGAATCACAAGATAGCGGAAAACATATCAGCCACTGAAAACAGTTGTTACTGCTGCGCAGGTAGCTTTAGGCCACGCACCCAAATAGGTTTGTTTTGGAAGCCGAATACCGATAATGTAATTTCAGCACTTAAACTTGGACATTTATATATATTCTACGAATGTTATGAATTTTTCTCTCTCGGAAATTGATTAAATATGTCTAGGAATACTGATATTTGCAAAAAAATAATCAATAATTTTTTTCACTTTACTTGCCCCTTAATGCTTAAGATAACATTACTAAACTGAATACATTACTGAGATAGAATGTTAAAGTTCCTCTGAAAGGCAAAAAACAAGAATTCTGAAAACATACCAATCTTAAAAATTTTAAATACTATTTTTTCCAATTTGACAAGCATGGGTACTTGGCATTCAATCACATTATCAAAAACATGCTTAGGAAGCTATCAAATTAAAAGACGTCTCACTGCACAACCAATACAGTTTGACAACAGTGGCACATTTGCTGCTACCATGGTCACTATAGTTACAAAGGTATCAGACTCACTTGAGCCCACTGTCGATCTGCGTTGTGCGGTGCGAGTTGGCGTCCCACAGTATGATGGCTGTGGACTTCTCACAAACAATTCCAAGGATGTCGCCATCGCTGTCCCACCCCAGGCCAGTGCACATCCTGAAACATTGCAGTCTCTATCATACATGGAAGCACATACACATTAGCATCACTCAGTTTTACCTTACACACAGCAAGTAAACATCACTTCATGTTAGTCATAATTGACAATTCTACCATCTTAGATATTCAGCCAACAAACATTATTCTGTTTCATACATCATCATGTGCTCAACAATACGAACAAGAAATAGTCATCAATCATTGCCCATTCCAATATATAACATAGCTGCGCGATAAATCGCAAAGAACAATGAAGAACGAAGTGTGGTTTATTTCACGATAAAACATTGTTCTGTCATGACGTTATTTCTAGAGATTCAAACAGGCGTCATATATTGGACGACGTTATTTTTAGAGGGCGGTGTCTAGCGAGTTGTTCCCCAGAGATGAAATTGACTGACAATACTGTTGATACGCGGCAGTGATACTTCTCTCACATTGTTATCTCCCTTGTATCCATGACTACAAAATCAGTGTTCCCCCTGGCCTTTGAAACTGCCAGTCTTTGTGGACTGGTAACTCTAAAAATTGCCAGTCCCCCCCTAATTTTTGCCAGTCTCAACTTTCAACAAATAAAAACACGTATAAATATTGTTTGGTTTTAATTCTTTCAACTTCAAGTTCAGTGCAAAGTGTCATCTCTGAAGTAACTTAGTTAGATCTATACGTCATTCACACAAACTTCAGTCACAATTTTCACTTTGTTTTTTAATATTTCGAGATAGAAGTCACTACAAATGGATATTTAAACTAGATATAGACAAGGGGAAACCCTGATGGTAACAGACAAGCTGACTTTGTTCGAAAAATGTACTTATATGAATACCACCGATGTTTTGTTCAACAACAACGATTTATAAGGTACTCTATTTGCCGGTCCACAGGGACTGGCAGTCACATGAATTACCGGTCCAAGCCTAATTTTACCGGTAAAAAACTGGTAATTACCGGTAAACGGGAACACTGAAAATGGTGTCAACTTTGACATTGTGATATTTATCATAGAATGTAGGAATTAGGATCTGCATGTACAACCAGTGTCATTAGCTCCAAATATACCGCAAAACATATCACAATAGTTTATTTGCCTATACACAGCCTTATGTACAACACATCAAAGTACCACAGCAGATTGCCATGATGTGAAACTGTGAAACATTCAATGCCGACACAGCTCGTATGAACCCTTTACACACTAGTGTACTCACCCTGGCAGGTTGATCTCCTCCTTGAGTTCTCCATGCCGGTCATATATCCTCACTGCATGGTCGAACCTGAGACAGACAGTCACATTGCAACAGACCCATCACTAACTCAGACAGAAGGATGTGTGGAGAGGCATGCACTTGATTCACAAGCAATAACATGTGTTTTGTCACGCAGGCCAGCTGCACTGCGAACCCAAATGGATGTTTAAAAGATTGAAGCTAATCGATATGAAGTATGTATGTAAAATGTATCTGACATTTCGGTTCTGATACATTTCTACAGAAATACAATCAATGTCAGGACAGTCCATGTAAAAGCTTATCACATTAATCACCAAGTTTTGATTTAAACAAGGAAACCCCCATCCATACGAAACAAAAGATGTCTTACCCGATACTTAATTTGTATTTTATTGCCGTTGATACAGCGGTCACCTTGAGACCCCCATATTAATGCATTGTGGACTGCCTAGACGTATTACCTAGGACTCAATATAGCAAGGTACAGTCCTTCTATATTTTCATTAGACTTGGGACTATCAGACTACATTGAGAAGTGTGGCAGTGTCTGACCCTAGATAATGAGGTTGCAGTGTATGTAATATGTTGACATGAACTGTACCCTGTTGTTGCCAGGTAGTTGCCATGTGCTCTCTGCCAACTGTAGAAGATGCCACCTTGTCCATGGGACTTATCAGCTAGACTGAAAACTCTCTGAAACAGACAAAAAAAAGTTTTATCGATCTTATATACTGTTCAAAGGATGCATTGTTTACTTGCAAATTATTTTCGATTTTACCTTTCATGAAAAATATTAGTCACCCAAGGTCACCATTTCCATATTAGACCTCGGACAAGCAGAAACATTATTAGTTTTGATAGTTTGGCTCAGCGCATTTTAAAACTATGATAAAATGTAGTGAGAAACTTCAGCTCTTTGTCTCTTTTGTAAGGAGTTATTATGTGATCAATATCACAAGTTTAGCAGCAAAATGAAGTTTATCATTCTGCATTGTGTGTCAATTTGCCAGGATGGCAAGGTTATAAACAATTGGTTGGTATATTTCTGATATTTTGATCATCATTCTCATGATTCTTAAAGTAACAGTTCTTTTGATTAGCATGAGTTTTGAGCCATAAGTGTTCCTGTTTGTTAGTCGCAATAATTAAGCATAGGTTAATGGGAGCCTATACCATGTATACTAACCAATTCCAATAACTGTTCCAGCCCAAATGATTGCATTATCAGTAAGATGTCAGGAAAAAACAGAGCTCTACAATTCAAACCTACACCAATTTCATTACGAATGACACCAATGAATGACACATTGCAATACATCAAAGATCCTAGAGGTGCTCTTGGGGTCATTGTCAGCACAGTTACTACACAGATGTACCCCAAGTACATTTCTGTACACACAAATGTAGCAACATGTAAGGCATTGGGATGATCAGAATCAATTTATTTAATTTTTCAGTTCACAAAACCATTTTCAATGTGGTTGTCATGTCAACTCTATTGAGTGTTCTGTAACCTCAATCGGTATATGTAGTTTGATTTTGGTTAGCGTACAACTTTGAACACAGGAAGGTCCCTGGGTGTACCGACTACGACCCCAGCAACCCTAGTTGTGACATATGACAACATGCTACCTAGGTCCCTAGCTCCATTTTTTAATACATGTCACTACTAACAGCTCTGATATATAGCCTATTCATACTGTTTTTCATTTAGGCCTTAACGACTTAAAATAAGATCAGCGTTTTGTCGATTTCAAATGAACAGTAGGCCTAGATTTGATAAATGTCATGCAGCTGGCTAATAGTCACATGCTCTTTCTAATGTTGATATCATAACTAAATCTTTAGCAAATAGAAGATTGAAACCAGATAACAGTATTAACACTGACAAACCATTTAGCATTCATAAATATCGTAATACCCAAAATAGTTCTGTGATCTACCCCTATCACTAGCAGACGCTAAATATCATGCCCAGAAATAAATCGCATCGCTGTGAGACATTGAAACTCTGTTTACTACTTTCAATAAAATAATGTCTGAACATACGATTTTCTAACATGCATTAATTAATTTACACAGACACAAGAAATACCTTCATCGTTTCATAGAAACATCAAAACAAACCCGGTGCTCGCGATGGAATTTTACGCATGCGCACTTGTTCGTTAACGCTGAAGACTTCTTAATGGGAGGTAACTCTGTGATAGGCAAACCACAAATAAAAGAATTTAACGCGAGAAAATATCACCGAGTAACAAGTGCCAATCGTACAACCTTGTTGAGACCACTGGATCCCATGATTCTTTCCTGTTTTCGGTATTCCTTCCGTCTTCTATTTAATATTTCGGCCTGCATGGCGGCTTTGTATTGGATGGCAGTCATGGTGGCTGAAATGAAAACGCATTTACAAACGGGTATGAATATTTAGAACTGATCGAGTATGAAGTGATTATGGCGTACCTAGTTATTTATCCATGCAACTTAATATTTTCAATACATTTATGTAAAAATAAGGTTTTACGGTCAAGGGTATGACGGTTTAAAATAATCAGAAATAAGTTTACAAACTGAACTAGTTTCTTTCACATAAGCCCAGAGCATATAATTAATAAAACAATCACTCCATTCCATTCTCACCCCATTCTCATCTCTAGCAGGCTATACTCATCCAATTTCTACTAAAATTAAGAGACTTAGACATCCAGGGTTTCATTACATAATTATTTCTTTTTAACTTAATGCATAAGTTTAGTTCAGGGACAATATGTGTTAGTGTCATTGTCCCGAGGAAAGAGTTTGTTTGTTTGTTTGTTTAAAGCCGCACTCAGCAATATTCCAGCTATATGACGGCGGTCTGTCAATTATCGAGTCTGGACCAGACAATCCAGTGATTAACATCATGAGCATCGATCTACGTAATTGGGGTACGATGCCATGCATCAACCAAGTCAGCTAGCAGTTTCGGTGCTGCCCCTTATTGACACATGTTACACGTGGTGTCTTCTAAGGCAAGCGACTTTATTCGAAATATGCCTCGCTTGGTGGGTGGAATTTGGCGCATTGTAAATGGAATTAGTAGTAGTAGTAGTAGTAATAGTAGTAGTGATATTTCGCACATCAATGAGAACATTGTCCGATTATCCCATTGTAAATTGAAGTAGTAGCAGTAGTAGTATAGTAGTAGTGATGGTGGTGGTGGTGGTGGTGGTAGTAGTTGTAGTGCTAGTATAGTAGTAGTGAGGTGAGGTGAAATTGGGTTTAACGTCGCGTCCAAGATTATTGCACTTATATAGCGACGTGCATGCACGTGTGCGTGTGTGTGTGTGTGTGTGTGTGTGTGTGTGTGTTTTTGTGTGTGTGTGTGTCTGCTTGTACTAGTCCGGACTAATGCCGATTTATAGAGCTAGCCCACTGAGATACCATGCCGCAGTTTAACATGAATACCCCACTCAGACACAGTATACTGACTCCGAGCCGACCAGTCCTTGTTTTAGCCCCTTAAGGCCGAGCGCCAGACACGGTAACAACAAGTACCATCTTTTAACGTCTTTTGGTATGACGCGGTCGGGGATCGAACCCCGCACCTTCCTCTCTCCGGGCGGACGCTCTACCACAAGACCACGGAGGCGGTCTAGTATAGTAGTAGTAGTAGTGGTAGTGCTAGTAATAGTAGAAGTAGCAGTTGTAGTAGTAGTAGTAGTAGTAGTAGTAGTAGTAGTAGTAGTAGTGGTAGTACTAGCTGTAGTAGTAGTAGTAGTAGTAGAAGTAGTAGTAGTGATAGTGGTAGTGGTAATGGTAGTGCTAGTAGTAGTAGTAGTAGTGGTGGTGGTGGTGGTGGTGGTAGTAGTAGTAGTAGTAGTAATAATAATAATAGTAGTAGTAGTAGTAGTAGTAGTAGTAGTAGTGATAGCAGTAGTAGTGATATTTCACACATTAATGAGAACACTGTCCGATTATCCCATTGTAAATGGAATTAGTTGTAGTAAATTAAATTTTCATGAGGTAAAACACTAAGCGTTTGCACTAGTGCATTTATAGAAATACGTGAATCAGTGGAATAAAACTTTATATTTTGCCATAATGGATCCGCTTTGTTAAAGTAAATACAATAATCGTCCGAATTGTTCTCCACGATACCAGGAATAATTACCGACGTGTATTTGCACAGGTGTGATTGACCGTGCTCAGTGCAGACACACAATTCTCGTCCTCTTTCATATTGATCGTCCACAGCGTTGACAGTGCTAGTTCAGAGTTGGCTGATAATATCTCGTGTAAATAATTGATTTGTGTTATGTAGGCTTTGCATCGTTGCAATGCACAGCACAGATGCTTGGCAGATGCGGACTCAATCATGCTTTTGAAATGATTGTGTGCATCATCATCATCATCATCATCATCATCATCATCATCATATACAAGTATGTCTAATGGCAAGTATAAAGTTTTTTATCCGTGGAATTATGTGCTCGAGAATAGTGGCTTTCTAGAACGTCTTGCGATGTTAGACGAAATGTAAGGCTAATTATATGTGGTATTATGACAAAACTCCATAACAAAGTAATCCTAGGAAGATTCCTCTTTGAATGAGTGAGTGAGTGGGTTGGGTTAAAGGGCCTCTTTGAACAGTCCAGTTGTGTCAGGGCATGTCAGCTTAATATGGGAGGAAAGACCGAAGTGTTTCAGGTTTCAGACTTTTGCCACTTTAGTGACACCCCCGAGAACTATGGTGCTGACAATTCTATAAACATAATCGGGGCAAACCGGGTTTCGCAACAACGATCATAGGTTTCTGGTGTGCCCAAGGGACGCAACTCTGTACAGCGAATTGCAGCGCCTTCGTATTCCTCTTTGAAGTGATCCTAGCTTTGATACATCACATTTCTGGAAATAACTTATCAATTTAGTTTAATTCAGTTATAATGCCCTAACCATGCGGGTATTTTTTATCTCCCCGTTGTACATTCAACAGAGCTGGCTAACTGCTGTTTATGACCCGTGAAGAATCCGGGGTAGAATAGGTCTTCAGCGACCCACGCTTGCTGTAAAATGTGTCTCTGCTCGTCGTAAGAGACGACTAACGGGATCGGGTGACTCGCTGACTTGGTTGATGCATGTCATTGATCCCAATTGCGTGGATCGATGCTCATGGCAATCGTTGGCTTGTCTGGTCCAGACTCGACTATTTACAGACCCCCGTCATATAGCTGGAATATTGCTGAGTGCGGCGTTAAACAACAAACAAAACAAACAAACAAACAAGTGCTGTATATACTAGCAAACAGGTACGATAGGCGTACATAAAATCCCAGTCTGTATCTTAAGCCCTCAGAGAGAGAGAGAGAGAGAGAGAGAGAATTACTTCTAACATGGATATTTAATCGTGATTAGCAAACTAGGCGCATAAGTTTCCACGAAATGAGTATACATGTGAAATGACACCATTTAGTTCAACGCCGCTTTCAACAAGTACCATATTTTAACGTTTTTGGATATGACGCGGCGGGGGATCGCACCCCCGACCTGACACTCTCCGGGCAGACGCTCGATCCACTAGATCACGGAGGCGGTCACAAGTAATTGTGACGGCAAACTATTAGCCGCACCAAGGTATCAGTATAATTATAACGTTGATAAATGTTTAGCACACAGCACACATATTGGTGAAAAGTGACTTCAAGGTGAAGTGATTTTGATTAAAACCACCTTAATAGTAATAAATCTGCTTCAGTAAGGATTGACGTATAAGTCCTGAGCCTCACATAGACGGAATTGCGTAATAGTGGAATCTTTTGCAGAGGACTCTATATGGTAACATAGAGGTATATCAACTAAACATTGAGTCAATTGAGAAAATCGTGCGCTGTGATAGTACGTGATCTAAGACAAATTTGAGGAGCGTGCCGTGATCAACACTAAACAATACTACAAAATGCCAGATGACATAACCACACACGTATTACTGAAGACAGAAATGCCCGATTATACGTTCCAGGATAGTTTACTAGCCTATATGTCTTCAATAGTCACTGAGACCCGTGAAGATCCGGGGTAGAATAGGTCTTCAGCAACCCATGCTTGCTGTAAAAAGTGTCTCTGCTTGTCGTAAGAGACGACTAACGGGATCGGGTGGTCAGGCTCGCTGACTTGGTTGATGCATGTCATCGATCCTAATTGCGTGGATCGATGCTCATGATATTCATCACTGCATTGTCTGGTCCAGACTAGATTATTTACAGACCCCCGCCATATAGCTGGAATATTGCTGAGTGCGGCGTTAAACAACAAACCAACCAACCAACCAACCAACCAATAGTCACTGAAACGTAAACAAAGGTTCTGGCAAGAATTGGATGCAAGACCACAATATCTGCCTCTTATGGTTGTGGCGAAGTGTCTTCATATATTTACTGCAAGTCGTCATATATAAATGTACCTGTATGTTTCCTTAAATATTATCCATATATACAACGCATTTCACATGCAGCAAAGTATGAAAACACACTTTGAACAAACTGACAATGTGTGCATTTCCTTTTCAATTACCCATAAGTCCTATAAACCAGAATCATCATCGCCAAAGAAGATTAATGAGGAGATTCGAACCTAGGACCAGCGGATCCTGGCACGGCTAATGGACACAACTCACACATAAGAGAAACGTACTGACGACAATACCGATGTGGTATATAATTATATATGCCACATGTATTCCATACACATACCTTATAAGGGTGTCTTGTACAGCAACTGAGATCCCAGTATGATATATACCTGTCTACAACTGTATATCACATGAAAGAAACACCTGTCCGCTGCCGACTCGCTGCATGCACCATGCACGCTTCTCACCTGTACGCAGCCGGCAAGCTACCTGAAACATGCACACTATTTTTACAAACTGCACGGAGGTCAATCAATATTGATCTCAGATAACGGTTCTGCGAGATAGCGAGGCCGACATCCACAGATTTGTGAATTGTTTCAGCATTCATCATCGTTGATGAGGCAGGAAGCATCAATCATCGTTCACCCGTGTCAGTGTTAGATGATAAATGTTCCCATATAGGGAGGGAGTGCTGTGTATCGACCGGCGTGTTCTCTGATTTCATGATCAGCTATTATATGCTGTGATATTGACATAGTGTGTGGTCCTGATCGGCAACTGTTATCGAGACATAATAATTTGTGTTGGTGAATGTAACGATGGTGACAGTTATATCATCTTATATCATCTTATATCATCTTATATTCATTGTCATGTGAGTTCTAGGGTGTGGCTTAAATTTATACGCCATTAACGAACGAACGAACGAACGTCTGAACGAACGAGGGGCGGTCGGGTAGCCTAGTGGTTAAAGCGTTCGCTCCTTACGCCGAAGACCCGGGTTCGATTCCCGACATGGGTACAATGTGTGAAGCCCATTTCTGGTGTCCCCCGCCGTGATATTGCTGGAATATTGCTAAAAGCGGCGTAAAACCATACTCACTCACTCACTCACTCTGAACGAACGAGGGAAAAAACGGACAAGTGAGTGAGTGAGAATAGCTAAATCGATTAATAAATCACAAATTGATGGCACGATTCTTCTTTGAGAAAATTTAAAATTATGTAATTCACTAGCTAGTACAGACAGGGATCAGATGCTAAGTACAGTAACGTTAATAACGAACACGCTTATAACGAACTGACGGATATAACGAACTATTTTTGGTCCTGTCCATTTGCTGTATATATTCCGTATACTTGCTTATTACGAACTACGGTTATAACGAATTACAATTTGTGGTCCCTTTGAGTCCGTTATAACCGTAGTTTACTGTATATTCTCACCGAGCACCACCGTACATCCGGATTGAGTCTCTCTCCCCAGACCTGAGATTAACCATACGAGCCGGAGCCACTCCTTCTGCAGAGCAGCGAAGAGTTGATCCAGATTCGGAGGCACCACAGGACGTGGAATGACTGCTTTCCGCCTGCGTGGTCTAGCGGATAGAGCGTCTGTCCGGAAGTAGGACGTATCGTAGCTCGATCCCCGGGTCGAGTGATAAGATGGTACTTGTTGTTACCCTACTTGGCGCATGGCAGTATGAGGATAAAACAAGGAATGCTTGGCTCGGAGTCATTCACGTCGCTATATAAGTGCAATAATCTTGAACGCAACGTTAAACACCATTTCATCTCACCTCACCTCACCTCACCTCACCTCACCTCACCTCACCTCACCTCAGATAACTCACTGTGGCATGTTAGGCTAATTAATCAGACCATGCTGAAGCTAAGGTATCCTGGAGTAGTCATACACTTGGCCATGGCGTACACAATTACTTACAACTGTATATACATACATATATAATTATATATATATTATATTTGCCTTTATGCCGCTATTAGTTCTATTCCAATCATATCACAGGCGGGGCCCACAGCGATTAAACACCATGTACCGAGGTGGGGAATAGAACCCGCGCGTCCGGTGTGACGAGCGACAGCTTGGACTACCAGGCTACCCTACATGCATAATTTAAGTTTGCAACGACACCCTAAACCCTCGAACGCAGGGAGGTGGAGGTGAAAGGGGGTTTAACGTTGCTTTCAATATTATATAGCAATTATACTCAACAACAAAAGTTCCCGTGACACCAATATTTTAGTGTATTTTTCAAACAAGTAAAGTTTGGTTTTCAATATTGTAGTACATGTATGGAATCAAGTCACAAAAATGCAACTGCTACAGAAAAGCATGCATTCCATGCAAGAGTTGACTTTTATGCAAGCCCCATGCATTTCACTACCCAAGAATGGGTAAAGAAACATGTGCGTTAACGGGATTCCATATGCATTGTTTAGCATCGTGCTGATAACCACTCAGAAAAACACCAAAATTACGCAATTATTCAACATTACGAAATGCCACGCCTGTCCGAAAATGAGCGTCTGCGAGCCATTGGTATGCTTGAAGAAGGATCGAGTCAACGTGATGTTGCAAGATAATTTAACGTCCACAGAAACACCATTTGGTGCTCCAGCAGATATGGACAGATGTCCCACAGGACTTTGTGCGACTCCTGGTACATTCCATGAGACGAAGATGTGTTTCTTGCATCGCAACCAGAGGTGGACACACACGCTGTTGATTTGTAAAATGACATTTTAGCATGTTCATAATGTTTGTGTTTTTTTATGAAATCACGCATTTTCTGAACTCGGTATGGCAAATTAAATCATTTGAACACTTACAGGTGTCTTTTATCTGTTGCAAACCGAAATTGTTTTAGATTTGGTAAAAAACATAACTTTGCATTAAATCTTATTCAAAGTCACAGGAACTTTGGTTGTTCAGTATATATAGCGATTTGCATACGCTCCCCGGGCAAACGCTCCATCCACAAGACCACGGAGGCGATCGAACGCAGGTAGGTGTTTTAGAGATTCCAAACGACGATATACCATAATGTTAAGTTAAACTTAAGTGTGACTTCAATTTTGACCCCATTACGCTTTAAAACCACTTCAAGTGTCTGGTCTGTCTTGACAAATTTATGTGTGTGTGTGGGGGTGGGGTGGGGTGGGGTGGGTGGTGGGTGGTGGGTGGTGGGGGGGGGGGGAGGGGGGGGGGGTGCACGGGCGAGTCGCTGTGCAGAGTTGCGTCCCTTGGGCACGCCAGAAACCTATGATTGTGGGTTCGAATCCCGGTTCACCCCGATTATGTTTCTAGGTTTGTCAGCACTATACCCGTGCTCGTGGGTTTCACCGAAGTGGTAGACGTCTGAGTCCTGCATCACTTCGGGCTTTCCCCCCACATCAAGCTGACACGCTGTGATATAACTGGAACACTGTTAAAAGCGGCGTTAAACCCAACTCACTCACTCACTTGACAAGTGTGTAGTTTGTTGACACAGGCGACTGGTTAACCTGAAAGTCTACATCATCATAATCATTATTGCATTTCAGAAATAAATATTTTACTATCATCAAAGATTATATTTCTCTTTGTTTAAATATGTATGTGCCTGCATTGAGCACAATAAACAACGTAGACATTTCTTACACGGAGTTATTTCTGTCAACATCACACCACACATGTCCATTCGTCACCGCTCGCCCCTTTCCGTAACCTGACCCGTGTTCTAAATATAGAAACAGTCATACGCGTCGACGTGGAACGTATACATGTGTTGTTATGCAAATAAAACATAAGACGATACATTCAGAATGACTACCTATATACAGGCATGACTCAAATATTATTTACTTTTACTTTCGGTGAAATAAGGTCCACTGCTAAACTTAGAACTTACTTAGTAGACCCGATCGATAAAACTCAATGAAGTGATTGGTACAATATGGGGCAATTACAGGTAAAAGCAGGTTAAGGGGACCGGTCATTATTCATGCTCGAATAAAATTAATTTTGTAGTTCATAGATGTATATGTTATATATTAACACCGTTTGAATATGCAGTCTTCAGTTTTTCTTGCATATCGTCTAAGACGCTGCACTTCAGTGTGCAGAGTTGCGTACCTTGGGCGTGCCAGAATCCTATGATCGTGGTCTCAAATCCTAGATTCGTCTTGCTAATGTTTCTTGGTTTGTCAGTACTCGTGGGTTGCACCACTTCGGGTATGAGTGTGTGTATATGTGTGTATATGTGTGTGCTGTGTATGTGTGTGTTATGTGTATGTGTGTATGTATGCGTGTATGTCAGCGTGTGTGTGTCTAGGTGTGTGTATTTGTGTGTGCGCATGTATATGTGTGTGTGCGTGCGTGTGTGCGCATGTATGTGTGTGTGTGTGCGTGCGTGCGTGCGTGTGTGCGTGCGTGCGTGCGTGCGTGCGTGTGCTTGAACACAGTATACTGACCTCGAGCCGACCAGTTCTTGTTTAAGCCCCTTAATGCCGTTGGTCGACCAAAAAACGGCGTATGGCATGACACGGAGTAATACCATTTTGCATATTATCGGTACTGTTACAATCCAGTGATTGACATCACTTACATCGATCCACGCAGTTGGGATTGGGATGACAAGCAGCAACCAAGTCAGCGAGCCAGTACGGTAGGAACTGAAGAGTTTCACTAACGTACATTACAAATTGTTTTGTCGGAATGAATTTTCCAACAAATTTAGATTAACGTCGCGAAAGCCCTTTTTTTGTATTGAGTGAGTGAGGTTTTACGCCGCATTTAGCATTATTCCAGCAATATCACGGCGGGGGACGCCAGAAATGGGCTTCACACATTGTACCCATGTCGGGAATCGAACCCGGGTCTTCAGCGTGACGAGCGAACGCTTTAACCCGACCGCCCCTTGTATTGAGTATTATATATATATATATGTAATTCTTCATATATATATATATATATATATATATATATATATATATATATATATATATATATATACATATATATATATATATATATGTGTGTGTGTGTGTGTCATTCTTCATCGCGATACATATACAACCCAATCATACAATACAACCCAGTGTCACGACTGTTTCAATATCTTTTGTCTGCGTCAAAACTGTATCAAAATAATAATAATGATAATACACATCAGGACACGTGTAAAAATTACCTACAGCAGGCACAACTGAGTTCCCCGTATGAATGCCGCTTACTTTATACCATATATGGGAGGCATACAGCGGGGAACAACACCAGTCCGTGCACGTCATGGTGTGAGTGTATGCTGACAGAGTGTTGATTGTACACATACTATTGTATGAAGACACCATCTGGTGCAAGGAGCGAGAGCGTCAGCCTTTAACCGGTGTAATGACGCAACCACTATTAATATTTACACCTTGACGTGTGTGCTATTTTTAACCTGGGAATTATCGTACTTTCGGGTATTTACTGTGAACTGAGGAAAAACCCCACCACTAAATAAAGAATTAACATATAATCTTCGTATTTCGCTCTTGTTGTCAATTCCTTCCGAGACTTGTTCACGCAAGGTAGGTTCTTCCTTCGTGTGGATATAGTACTGATTTGATGATTCAATCATTCTTATTGTGTGAAATGTTTCCTTTTATTATTGCAAAGTTTAAGTGTATTTAGGTTGGCTCTGTAGCGAAGAAAACAGATTGTCTTACATAAGGTATACGTAGAACCGTGCTTTGTTTGTTTGTTGTTTAACGCCACACTAATCAATATTCCAGCTATATGGCGGCGGTCTGTAAAATAATCGAGACTGGACCAGACAATCCAGTAATTGAGCATCGATCCACGCAATTGAGACCGATAACATGCATCAACCAGTCAGCAAACCTGACCACCCGATCCCGTTAGTCGCCTTACACAACAAGCGTAGTCGCCTTTTACGGCAAGCATGAGTTGCTGAAGATCTATTCTACCCCGGATCTTAGATCCATGCATTAGCTACAGCTGTATAACCAAAAACGTGTTATCGCCGTGAGTAGCTTATTCCCCGTCCTGTTTTATTTTTGCGGATGATTTAAAGCAATATAAAAATGTTATGTAAAGGCGGCACTGTCACCCAGTCGTCTCAATCGCCGTAATTCATTGTGCAGAGTTGCGTCCCCTAGACGAGCAAGAAATATAGGATCGTTGGTTTGAAAAACAAATACGCCCTGACTATCTGTTTGTAGATTTGTTGACACAATACCACTGATTTGGGCTTTCCTCAAAATTGAAAACGAATAAGACCTGCGTCACGGTCTTTCCTCCCACATCAAGGTGACACGCCGTGATGTAACTAAAGTATTGTACAGCGTGGCGTAAACCAAAACCTTTACTGGTATATTTCATTAACTGATCTTTTAGTTTATTTATTGATATTTTATCATTTATATCATTATATTTTAGTGTTATGTTTATAGAGTGTACATCATTCTGTTTGTGCTTTCAGGAATTTTTCAAGATGAGCGATCATATGTCTGAACTCGAGACCCTTGTTACCGCCTGGGCATGGGGAAATCACATCAAGCCGTATTACGAAACAAAATACAGCTTCGGAGATTTTGAGTTCCAGGTAGATTTAGAAAAGGTGGACTTTCTCTGCGAGAAACCCACATTTAAGTACAGGAAGAGTCCAATGTTAGACCCAAAGGTAGTGTTTAAGTCTCGGTACAAAAACGACACTGACGAAGCTCAAGAAATGACCATCCGCGTCCAGCGTACGACATCGGCAACGGCAAGAATCAGAGTTAAGAATGGCTTCACAGCCGACAACGGAGTTGGCATCAAGCTCCGCGCACCCCCGGAAGTAGACAGTGCGTTCGGCGGATACCTGCCTATCAAGACGGAGGAGACGAGTGACCTCTGTCACAGCATGACCTGGAAGTACAATTCCAAGATCACAGCCGCTCCTCGGAAGACAACAGTGGCCAAGTTCGAGGTCAACGAGGAGAGATTGGTCTGTGACTTCTCCACGTACGTAAGCCTGAAGGGGAAGGCCAAGGTGACGGTTGTTCACAAGAGCTCAGGCACAACAATTGAAACCATCAAGGAAAGCATCAGAACAATCATCGATGAATATCTACCGAGAGCAACTCAGTATTCCCGACAAGAGAACCTAATTTTCATTGGCGCTCAGGAAGCAAGATGGCCGTTTCGAGGTGACATAACCTTCAACTATGGAATATCCCAAAACGAGGTTGTTGAGTGAATTTCTTGGTTAACAGACTCACCTGCATACTTTGGCTGTACAGCATTTTGTGTTTAATGTAACATTCCATAATAAAAAAAACCTCGGATTTTAAAATGGTATCCTGAACCGAGGATAACAAGGCTTGAACTTAATTCAAAGCAGGCTGCAAGATTACGTGGAACTGAATTGTTTGATAGACATTACACAGAAGTTGACGGATGACGAAGTAGAAACAAATTATGGATGACAACTTCAAGGACTGTTTACACACTTTGTTAATGACTGTGATGTTTATTGCGTCTGTTTATTTATTTTACTAAATACGGTATTCTTGTGTTAACTCCTTACTCGTGTTGTATGTTATCATGTATATAAATGAGGTTAAAAGGTATGTTATTTCTGAGATGTTTTGATTGGACGTTAGTGTTGTACCTACCTATGGGATTATACTACAGTTAATACGGTAGTTATGTTTCTTGTTGACGAATTTCAGGAGTCTATTTAATTACGTGTCTTAACATATAAAGGATAATTTGTTTCTAAATGTTGACTCTCCTTTTCTTACAAAATCATAGTTGGACCTGATTCTGAGGCCTTTTGGTTTCATGTTTTGTTTGTTTGCAGTTTAACAGTAAAGACAAGATATGTTATGGATCACAACTTCTTTATTCTAATATGATTCGACCTTTGGATATAGATCTTTATACCTTTGTCAAGCAAGCGTGACTCTTGCGCACTTTTCCGGCTGTGTGTAAATAATCGACTTTGGACTTGATAATTGATATTGTGAGCATGCACCCACGCCATCGGGGTACGATGCTACGCAAACAACCGCAAGTCACCGAGTCTTACCACCCAACCCATTTGGTCGCTTTTCAAGACCAGGATAGATTTGCATCTTCCAGAGACAAGGGAGGTAACTGACCACAATAGCGTAGATTTCAGTCTTTTACAGTCAGTTACCTCCCTTGCCTCGGGACGATGAATAGGTTGCTGAGGATCTATTCTAACCGGGAATCCCCACGTTGTTTTGTTTCTATGTTGTTTGTTGTTTAACGTCGCACTCAATAATATTCGAGTCTGGACCAGTCAATCCACTTAGTGATATCATGAGCACCGACCCACACAATTGGGATACAATCACATGCACCAACCAAGTCAGCGAGCCTGACCACCCGATACCGTTAGTCTCCTTTTACGACAAGCAAGGGTTACTGAAGACCAATTCTAACCCGGATCTTCACGGGTCGGTTTCCATGTACTTATTGAAAATAAACAATGATTATGACTTGAATGTCAGTGAATGTTTATCCTGATTTTGACCCATGTGGAGCCTCACAAAGACTTAACAAAGTGTTAATTCAGATAAGGATACCTCCGTGGTGTAGTGGACAGAGCGTCTGCCCGGAGATCGGAAAGTCGGTGGTTCGATTCCCTGGCCGTGCCATACCAAAAGACGTTAGAAGATGAAAACTGTCCCAGCCTGGCGTTCGGCATTACAGGAATAAAAGAAGGACTGATCGACTCTTAGTCAGCGGGTTATTCATGTTAAACTGCGGCAAGGCATCTAAGTGGGATAGCACTATAAAACCGGCTTAAGTCCAGACTAGTACAAGCAGCCACACGCATAAACAACACCATATAAGTGCAATAATCTTGAACGCGACGCTAAACACAGTAAATATTATAAAAAAGTTTAACGTATTTAGAGCCAACGACATAAAGATGTGGAATATAAACTATCTTAATCGTATTTTGAAAGTTTGGTCAGAACTTTTTCAGCTACGTCTTTCAATATTCCAGTCTTATCATGATGGGGGATAGCAAGGGTGAGTTACACACACTGTTCTCAGTATCAAGCCTAGGTTTTGGGCGCGGCGAGCGAACACTTACACAACACCCATACGTACCCCACCGCTCCGTTACCAGTAGTGTGGAGTGAGTGAGTTGGGTTTAACGCCGCTGTTAACAGTATTACAGTTATATATCGCGGCGTGTCAGCTTGATGTGGGAGGAAAGTCCAAAGTGATGCAGGTCAGAGACGTTTACCACTTCCGTGAAATCCACGAGCACGGGTATGGTGCTGACAAACCTAGAAACATAATTGGGGTGACCCGGGATTCGAACCCACAACCATAGGCTTCTGACGTGCCCAAGGGACGCAACTCTGCAAGGCGAATCGCGGCGCATTAGACGAGTGAGCCACCCATGCCCCCAGTAGTGTGGAAGTAAAAACATTGCAACAAAACACATTCATGCACTTGCCAAACTTTAAATGCTACACAGGTCTCAAATGTTGTTAAAAGCCTAAAAGTCTAAAGTGCTCAGCAACCCTTCCGAGCAGAGTCGTCGATAATAACGCCTAAAGAAACAACATTAGGACTAGTGGGTCGGTGGTATACTTTATTGGCACTTTGACCTCCTTTGGCTTTGTTGACACCAGCCCTCTCAAGAGAAGTAAACTTCAGTGTGCCCTTGTGTCTAGCAGACCCGAGACTGTCCCTTGAGGCGCTGAGGTCGGTCTTGCTGGTTTGTTTGTTTGTCTGTTTTGTGGTTTAACGCCGCACTCAGCAATATCCCACCTATTTGACGGTGGTCTGTAAATAATCGAGTCTGGATCAGACAATCCAGTGATTGACATCATGAGCATCGATCCACGCAATTGGGATACGGTGACATGCATCAATCAAGTCAGCAAGCCCGACGAGCCGATCCCGTTAGTCGCCTCTTAAATGGTGTTGATTGAGATGGTTTCTTGGACCTTCCGGTGTACGGTGTCTGGTCCTTGTTTAGCAGGTTTGGAGGAAAATGGTGGTGAGACCTGTCCGATTCTTGTCTGGAGTCTGACAGGTCAGTGGAACAGTCTGTGGCCGGAGGGCTGCTTGTTCACTGACAACATGCTGATGAGAGGATCTTAGCTGTTTCAGCTCTTCCTCTGTTTCTCCGCCTCCCAGCTACTGGTGCCCTCCTCCGGCGTCTCTTTCAGCTCTTCCTCTGTTTCTCCGCCTCCCAGCTACTGGTGCCCTCCTCCAGTGTCTCATTCAGCTCTTCCTCTGTTTCTCCGTCTCCCAGCTACTGGTGCCCTCCTCCGGCGTCTCTTTCAGCTCTTCCTATGTCTCCCCGCCTTCCAGCTACTGGTGAACTCCTCCAGTGTCTCTTTCAGCTCTTCCTCTGTTTCTCCGCCTCCCAGCTACTGGTGCCCTCCTCCAGTGTCTCTTTCAGCTCTTCGTCTGTTTCTCCGTCTCCCAGCTACTGGTGACCTCCTCCAGTGTCTCATTCAGCTCTTCCTCTGTCTCTCCGCCTCCCAGCTACTTGTGACCTCCTCCGGCGTCTCTTTCAGCTCTTCCTCTGTCTCTCCGCCTCCCAGCTACTGATGACCTCCTCCGGCGTCTCTTTCAGCTCTTCCTCTGTCTCTCCGCCTCCCAGCTACTGGTGCCCTCCTCCAGTGTCTCTTTCAGCTCTTCCTCTGTCTCTCCGCCTCCCAGCTACTGGTGACCTCCTCCAGTGTCTCTTTCAGCTCTTCCTCTGTCTCTCCGCCTCCCAGCTACTTGTGACCTCCTCCGGCGTCTCTTTCAGCTCTTCCTCTGTCTCTCCGCCTCCCAGCTACTGATGACCTCCTCCGGCGTCTCTTTCAGCTCTTCCTCTGTCTCTCCGCCTCCCAGCTCTTGTTCATGGCTTTGTTGTTGGCCATGTTTATTCTCCTCTAGCTTCCGGTTCTCGTTGGGATGATCAAGGAGGCCGCGGTAGTGATTATGCAGTCATGTACATACTATATAATTATTATCAAATAATACATTCAGAAATATAAAACATCAACGCCAGTGAACAACCAGTCTCGACATATATGATCCACAGGGCGTAAAACTGGTGAAACCTATTTGTGTAGAACACTGAAAATCGCGAAAAGTTCAAGCACGTCCTGCCCTAGAGGTAGCAGCCGTCAGTCACACAATTTGCATAAAAGTGTAATTGTTTGTTGCCATCGGACAAAAGTACTCCAGCTATGCGACGACGGCAAGTAAATAAACCAGACAATAAAGTGATGGACCAAAACTCAAGTACCACGACAGCGCATTTATTGATATTGTTGAAACTAAAAACGATAATTATGTATACTTTGAATTACGTCTACTGTGTGAGACTCTGCAGCCTTCATGTAAAGAAAAAAATCGTTTTGGAAGATTTGATCACGTGGTTACATGCCCATAGACTGGGTTACAGCCTGAAGGACAGTGAGTGAGTGAGTGAGTTAGGTTTAACGCCGCTTTTTAACAGTATTCCATTTATATCACGGCGTGTCATCTTAATGTTGGAGGAATGCCCGAAGTGATGCAGGTCTCAGACGTTTACAACTTCGGTGAAACCCACGAGCACGGGTATGGTGCTGACAAACCTAGGAACATAATCGGGGCGAACAGGGATTCGAACCAACAATCATAGGTTTTGGAGGGCCCCCTGAAGGACAGTGTAAGAAAACATTTAAAACGAGCATTAATGAGTGTTTGATATAGCTTAATATAGACAAGAGCTGAGACTCCACCACACTGCGGTGACCGTACGGCGGTGACAATAATTACGGTTAACTTGTCCATTACCGTTACATCAATCCGACTCTCTGCCATAGAACTGCCATATACAATTTTCAATCTGTCAATCAATCATGCACCATTACAGAACAAAACGTGTTTCTGTCCTATTTCCGACTTAACGTGTTTTGTCCAGGTATCGACCTGCTTAATATACCATACAAATTTAATCATATCACTAAGTTTGTTCGTGAAGCAACTGGACAAGGCTGCCAGGAAATATATTCTTAATATGATCTAATAAATCTTAGTTTGTCTCAGGAGGGTGGAGGTAGCCTAGTGGTTAACGTGTTCGTTCCTCACGCCCAAGTCATAGGTTCGATTCCCCACAAGGGAACACTGTGTGAAGCCCATTTCTGGTGTCCCCGACGTGATATTGCAGGAATATTGCTAAAAGCAGCGCAAAAACCATAATTACTCACTAACTTGTTTCAACAATTGAGTGAGTGAGTTAAAGTTTAACGTCACATCAGCAATATTTTAGCCATATCGTTACGAATGTTTCAACAATACAAAGTACATCAGTACATCAGAATTTCAGTATTAGTGTCAGTATAGTTCCTACAAACCAGTGAAGATCCGGGATAGACCAGGTCTTCAGCAACCAATGCTGGCCGTAAAGGCGACTATGCTTGTAACGGGATCGGGTGGTCAATTTTTGCTGACTTGGTTGATGCATGTCATCGTATCCAAATTTCGTGGATCGATGCTCATGCTGTCAATCACTGGATTATGTGGCCCAGACTCGATTATTTACAGACCGTCGTCAGTTATCTGGAATATTGGTGAGTGCAGCGTTAAAAACAAACAGATAAACAAACAAATCCCTACACAGTGCCTGACTTGGGCATTCCCCCTTAGTGGCCATACAATAACAACGGTTTTATTTACCAGCGGCAAACATGTCCCTCAGCAAGGAACATTTGTAAAGTCATGATTCTGTCCTAAATGCTATGACATTAAACCATGTCCTTCTGAGTGTTTGTCTGCTGACGCAAATTACATGATCATACTCATGTATTTTGTCAACCTGACAAATGAATATTTTCCTTATTTCGCAGTTACAATTACGGCATTATATTAACTCATGACAATCTCTCGACCTCGCCTCTCTGGACTTACTTTTACATAAACAAATCAGATATGATGTGTTGCATTTATCACGCAGGTGTTCGCCAGCATTGTCACGTGATGCAAAGGTGACGTGTTCCACCAATCGGAGCTCACTTCCGTTGCAGGAGTTCTTCATGCGCGTTAATTCCAGACTCCATAGTGAATAGGAGCAGAAGAGGCGGATATTCAAAAGCTGCTCAGATGAATGGTAGACATATCCAAACAAATCGGTGTGAATTCATATGTTGTATCGAGATGGACACCTATTTTTGATGTATCTAATATTTTCGCGCTGGAGTGAACATTCTTTTGATATTCGTGAAGTGCAATAGGAAGGATAAACACAAAGAGCGTTTTTGAACGAGATTTTTTACCGTGCTAGATTTTTTTTTATGGAACGTTGAACATATAAACGATAAGGTAAGTAAATAAGATGTTCTAAGATATGATTTATAACGCATTCATAAATTCCCCAATTGTTAATTTACAGGAAAATATGTTTGTTTGTTTGTTGTTTAACGCCGCACACAGCACTATTCAAGCTATCTGACGGCGGTCTGTAAATAATCGACTCTGGACCAGACAATTCAGTGATTGACATCATGAGCATCGATACACAATTGATATTGTGAGCATGCACCCACGCCATCGGGGTACGATGCTACGCAAACAACCGCAGGTCACCGAGTCTGACCACCCAACCCATTTGGTAACCTTTCAATACCAGGATAGATTTGCATCTTCAAGAGAGAAGGGAGTTAACTGACTACAAAAGTCCAGTTTCCACGGTTTTTTTCAGTCAGTTACCTCCCTTGCCTCGGGACGATGCATAGGATGCTGGGGACTATTCTTACCGGGAATCCCCACGTTGTTTTGTTTCCATGTTGTTTGTTGTTTAACGCCGCACTCAATAATATTCGAGTCTGGACCAGTCAATCCACTTATTGATATCATGAGCATCGACCCTCCAATTGGGATACGATGACATGCATCGTCAACCAAGTCAGCGAGCCTGACCAAACGATCCCGTTAGTCGCCTCTTACTTCAACAGAAAGTTTAATGGTGTATTGCCACTGTTCCACGTTGCGAGTGTTGAATAGTAATGTTACAATCGGTAATAAACGGTATGCATGTGGAGAACATATTTGTATTTTCGCCATGTACAAGGGTGTCAGAGCAGTTGTTAGTTCAATTGACTTTAATGGGCTATGGCCTCGACTTGATGTATAACTATCCCGAACCGTGTGTGCGTGTTCGCGTGAATGTGATAATCACTACAGCCGCTATAGAAGCTAACGATGCATAATAAACTGTATCGCTAATTAGGCACTTTCATAACGATGGCCTATCATCCTAGAAACTGATAAATAGTATAAAGACTTGTTGATACGAATGAATTTTAGAAAAATACAAACGACAAACACAACCTTCCAAATGCACAAGAAATATCTGCCAAAGAAAAGGTAATTGACATATTTGTTTTCTGAGGAAACACTTCTGAAAGTTATATGTAGGATCTAAACATCAATGGAACCTCAGGCTAGTAAGGTGAAGATTATTTACAGACCAAGTCATACACCTGGAATACTGCTGAGAGCGGCGTTAAACAACAAACCAACAAAATTTGGTGAAACCTCGTTATATCGATGTTCATTAGTTCGGTGATATATATCATTTTAGACGGCATATAGTCTAACAGCTTTATTATCCCAGCAGAATCGGCACGGGTCTAATATCGCCACAACCTATTGGATAGATAAGAAAAAGATATCTATAAGGATGAACATCTTCTTCATTACAATACTGAGCGACTTGCTTGATAACGGTGCAAGAACCTACGCCGAAAAGTCTATATTGTAAAAAAGAAGTTGTTAATCTATATATCTTATCCTTAATTAGTACTCCAACTTCTAAATGCCTCTTAAAGAAGTTAACCTATTTAATAGTCACGGAAAAGCGGCGTTAAACCCAACTCACTCACTCACTCACTAATAGTCACGGTGAGGACCAAGGTGCCTGGATATTGGTTACACATTACAACTGCCCGTCTGGAAGAAATCTAATCATAATAGCGAAATATCGATGACCCGGTTAGATGAAATCATGGGCAGGTATATCATTACAAAAATTGAACAATATCTTCAGGACATTTAGGATGACACAAGGTCAATGTTTTGCACACAGTGTACAAGCAGCAAACTTGAATTCCTTCAAAACCGATGTGCGCACTGTGCGAAATTCTGCTATGCGTATTGACAAAATGTGTAAGCCGGTTTTTACATTATATCTCCATAACCGCAAAACCTGATTGAAGTCAACGCTTAAACAAACCATGTAAAATCGTACGGTTATACAGTAAACATGTGTCGTCATTAAAATATGAGAAATATCAAGCAACCGTCGTCTCATGTTCGAAGGGCGCTAATTCCCTCATAAACATCCCATGTGGCGTTTAGTCCCGCCAACGCCCCGATCATAATTATAACGAGCCACACACATATAGTTAACGTACACACTTGGGCCAGCGTGTCCACCGTGTTGGGCGGTACATGCACGATATCATGATGGATGCTGAAGGATATGTTGCGTATGGTTGTTCTTGCTATTGGCCGCCATTCCGCCTGAAGAGCCTCCCCAAGCTGGGTCACGTTGGTGGAGCTAGGTCTCTGTCGTACTCTCCCCGCGAGAACATCCCAAGGAGGGTACTTTTCCAATGTTCGTATGCCTTCTCGTCGGAGATAATCGTTGACGACCTGGGTACGATGTGGTCTTACATTGTCATCTTTCAATTCAAAATTTCTGCCGATAATTCAAGCGATAGGAACAACGTAACGACAGGACGAAACATTTCGTCAACATGTCACTGGCCAGTCAAATGTGCATTCACATTAACTAAATCAGTTCGCCTGTCACGTTTGACACCGTCCCACACCATGACACTACGGTACGACACAGACCTGTTGTCTTTGCATACCGTTAGCCGCTACGTCGCCAACAACGTTTTCTACCATCTGTAAATCGGAAGCAAAAGCTTGATTCATTGGCGCACAGCCCGTCCCTGATGTTGCCTAGCCCACCCCGATCTTTGCTGCCCATGGTATGCTGTGTGCACATCTTTCGCAGGACGCCTTGCTTTCAGGAGGGCAGCATAGAGCCGGTTTTTAACGGTAAATGTTGACATTCGCCTTCCTGTTATTGTACGGAATTATCAGTCTATAACAGGAGCAGATATAAATCTGTTGCGTTATGCAGTTAATGAAATGAGACGATTGTGTCTAGGTGTCGTTTTTCGGTCAGGCCTAGGTATCATTGCAACCCCGCCAGGATGACGGTACTCGTCCCATAGTCGAAACATTACACTTTTTGATGTGCCAAACATTCATACAACTTGAGATACTGACACATCCTCTTTCTTAGTACAATTCTTCATTTTGTCTGCTAATTGAGATACTGGCTCAGGCATATTTATACGTGTGCTTAGCTGCATTTGTGTTGGTGAGTTCCCCTACAGGCGCAATAACTTTGGCTTCTGTGTGCACGTGCACGCTGTTCATGTGTGATTGGAAATTTCATTGTGATATATAAGATGCTGCGTTCAGATACAACACCTGTAAATGTACACCTCAACGCCAGCTATATTCAAATCATTAGTTCCCTTATTTTTGTCGGTAGTATATATCATGTCAACAACAACCCAAACACTGTTTTAATAAATCTTTTATATATTATATATTATCTCATGTTGTTCAATCATGTAGTATTTCACCTTCGGTTATACGCGGCATGAAACGCAATACACTTCTGTTCTATTCTGATCAGTATTGATTTAGTCGCCTCCTATGACCAGCCTAGATAATTGGGGACCTATACTAATCCCGACCCGAAAGGGTCAGTTTCAGCTTCAGATAGAGGGAATTTATTTCTTTTGCACTGGGAACTCCCCGATTATATTCGTTTTCGAGACACAGAAATCAGATGTATATACTTGTCTGAATGCTTCGGTCCCTCAACAGTATCGGTCACAATTAGTCAAATGCTAATAGTAGTCCCGTTTCACTTAAATGACACTAATAACAAAGAACGGGCGATAAGGAGTGAGCTTTGTTAGTGTACAACCATACTCGCTGGCTATTTCTTTTGCACTGGGAACTCCCCGATTATATTCGTTTTCGAGACACAGAAATCAGATGTATATACTTGTCTGAATGCTTCGGTCCCTCAACAGTATCGGTCACAATGAGTCAAATGCTAATAGTAGTCCCGTTTCACTTAAATGACACTAATAACAAAGGACGGGCGATAAGGAGTGAGCTTTGTTAGTGTACAACCATACTCGCTGGCTATATACAGATAGATAGAAAACCCAGACAAAGCCAGGCTAGATTCAATGTCACCTTACAGGTAAGATCTATTAATAACTTGGGTTTTACTTGAGTTGTGTAACAACAACGAAACCCTCGGAGTTGCCCAATCAAGTCATGGTTATTTATATTCCAAACTGAAAGTGAATCGCTCTTGTCTTATGCAGGCGCTTCGCATAACAGGTGAGGCATACCAGCTCTCCTATTTAGACTGGTTATTTTTTATACTTTGGAACATAGACGTAACAAAGACGGATTTAAAGATTCTTTCAAATATCTAAATATTTATTTGGTGAAATGATAGCTGCCCTTTTGATCACAATTATGTTACTGTTACATTTATATTAGATTATTATTTTAATGTCTTTTTGTGCATTATTGTGTATTTTGATGTTTGATTAAAACACATAACGTGTATTATTGTGATCTACAATTGGATGATCCATATCTTGTAAATGATATAGCATTATAACCATATCTGGTTGCTGTTTCAGCCGTCCAGCAAAATGTCTGATAACATATCTGACCTGGAAGCTGATGTAAGGAAATGGTCCTGGAGATACCGGATCGAGCCCCACTACATGTTCAATAAGAGCGATTTGGAATTCAAGGTCGATATAGATCAAGTTGCGATAAGCTACAAAAACCCAACCTTCAGTAATTACAGAAAGAGTCCTCTGACAGATCCAAAGATTGTTTTTACAACAAATTACAACAATGGCACTAATGACCCCCAAGAAGTGGCCGTCCGCGTCCAGCGTACGACATCGGCTACGGCAAGAATCAAGATGAAGTACGGCGTAACCGCTGACAACGGAATTGGCATAAAACTGCGCGCACCACCGGAAGTAGACAGTGCGTTCGGCGGATACCTGCCCATCAAGACGGAGGAGACGAGTGACCTCTGTCACAGCATGACCTGGAAGTACAACTCCAAGATCACAGCCGCTCCTCGGAAGACAACAGTGGCCAAGTTCGAGGTCAACGAGGAGAGATTGGTCTGTGACTTCTCAACGTATCAGCGTCTGAAAGGGAAGGCCACTGTGACTGTCATTCACAAAGTTTCAAGAAGAACTCTTGAGACGATCACGGAGGATATCAAGACGATTTTGGATGAACTCCTGCCAGATGCTGACGAAACTACTCCCCCTGAAAATATTATCCACATCAGGAACGATGCTGTTCAGTGGCCATGTCGGGGCGAGATCGACTTTACCTATGGCCTTTCACAGAATGAGGTGGTGGAATGAGAGCTTCGTAATTTTAACTTTTAAGTTTCGTAGTTAAAAACGGCGCAAGTCTCTTTTTAGTCCTAATGTTATTTTCAAATTTATCCCATTTATTGAAATTACGTCGGTGCATGTACTCTAAAACTGCTTTGCAATTCAGGAATGTTCAAATGAATATAAATTGATCATAAATAAATGTTATCAATGTTATTAATAGTTTTTGTAGTTTCTACTTTTCTACCATCGCCTTCACATATACCATAATAATGTGTACACAACTACAGAGGGTATAATTATGAAACGTGTAACTACCGCTTTACCCACAGTACGGGTTTAGTGAAGGTATTTCAGCACAGTGTGTTAATTATTTCAAAGAAAACTGAATAACCGTTTTCTGTTGTGATTTACTCTCACCTAACAATTAAAAACATGAATATTCTTCATTATATAACGGATAGTCTTATCGATGAGATAAACCAATCCAATAAACTTGGTATCACGATTCTATAAATATGCAAACGATGTCACCTCGCAGGAAATACGTTTATTATTTAGTAGTTAACTGTTCCAGTTTGTTTCTGACGTGAGGTGAAATGGGGTTTAACGTCGCGTCCAAGATTATTGGACCTATATAGCGACGTGCATGCACGAGTGTGTGTGTGGCTGCTTGTACTAGTCCGGACTGATGCCGATTTATAGTGCTGGTACACTAAGATACCAGTGTTTAACATGAATACCCCACTCAGCCACAATATACTGACTCCGAGCCGACCAGTCCTTGTTTTAGCCCCTTAATACTGAGCGCCAGACAGGATAACAACAAGAACCATATTTTAACATTTTTTGGTATGAGGCGACCGGGGATCGAAACCCGGGCCTTTCACTCTCCGGGCGGACGCTCTACCACTAGACCGCGGAGATGGTCGTATTTGTAATGAATAGGAAGTGGTTTCCCGATGTGTAAGCACCAATGTAAACAAACATGGATGCAAATCATTTGGAACTATATCATAAATAGGGCGGTTCGTTTGTACATTGTGTTCCAACGCAGTTTCTAAAGCCTATATTTCTTAATTATGTTAAGATTATTTTAAGAATGACATGATAAAGATATCATTACCATCATGTTTCCCTATCTTACATTATCATATATTTGGAATAAAACAATTATATGACGCTCGCATAATGAAATTTGCATTCCTGATATATTTACCATACGAAAGACCCGTGAAGATACGGTTTGGAATAGGTCTTCAGCAACCTATACCTGGCGTAAAAGGCGACTATGCTTGTCGTAAGAGGCGGCTAATGGGATGGGCTGGTCAGGTTGGCTGAACTGGTTGATGCCTGTCATCGTATCCCAGTTGCGTGGATCGATGCTCATGATGTCAATCACTGGACTGACCTATTCTACCCCGGATCTTCACGGGTTTTATGCATGGTATACGTACTTGGTATGCTCGTGGATAGAATAAGCGATCGTAAAAGACCCTCCTGCTGTGGGACATAGAATGATGTTTGGCAACATCAAGATATCTTCATAACATGCCATGCAGAGTTATATCCCTTGGCTACATGTATTATTTTTATCTAATTCTCTATTGACAACGAACTAACTTCGCTGAATATTATCATAAGCGCTAGTAAAATCACCATTTAGTTTGTTGTCGATAATCCACAATAATCAATAAGTGCAGTGCGTTGTGTTGTTGGTTAACGCCGCAGTCGGCAAAGTTCCAGCGTTTTGAATGCATGGGCTTTTATATATTCGTAAATGCATGTTACATGAATGCGATAGCTGCGGGACAAGCAGGAAATGTCACGTGCACCCCCCGCGTCACAGATCAAGCCTGGACACGCGTACTCGTCTCTTTCTCATGGTTAACGAATCATCACGAGTAGACCTAAATGGAAATGAAAACAGATGAGGTGACTATTCACCTGATGAAGGAGTAAGCATACACTCCGAAACGTTGTGTTCCTCATAGAAGAGAAGTTGACATCCATAAATTCTCTTCCTTATGTTGATAACTTCTAAATGCCTTGCAAAGAAAACAGATATGTGTAGATGTATGTAGCTAATTTTCTGACATAAAGGTTAGTTAAGTAATAAAAATAATAAAAATAACTGTATCTGGTCAATGAAAGTGATGTTTGCTTGTTTCACGATAACATTCACGATGTACCTTATTTTGTCAGAGGCAGCCTTGTTCAAATTAGGAGGTGTTTTTTGTGGTCAAAGATATATATGCTGCACATATTCAGTTATGAATTTAAACCGCCACGGTTACCATTTCTGTGTTTTATGTATGCATATACTTTTTATTTTCGAATCCCTGGTTAAAGTAAAGTGAACAATTGGGCTCACTTTGGAAAAAATGACATTGCAGTCTCCCTTCTTCTCTCGAAATGCTCTTTATTAGCCTACATACAGGTAAACTACGACAAATCGTGAGGGATTGCATACACTTGTAAACACAATTTCAAAACCAACAAGGTGTCAAAATACGACAGAACCATATCGCTCCACAATAAAAGGGGTCGGGTAATCCGAAGTAATACGGATTAACGGTAGCGTGTTTTGTTGTTTGTTGTTTGTTGTTTAACGCCAATATTCCAGCTATATGACGGCAGTCTGTAAATAATCGAGTCTGGACCAGACAATCCAGTGATTAACATCATGAGCATCTATCCACGCAATTGGGACACGATGAGATGCATCAAACCAAGTCAGCAAGCCTGACCACCCGATCCCGTTAGTCGCCTCTTACGACAAGAACAGTAGCCTTTTACGGCAAGCATGGGTTGCTGAAGACCTATTCTACCCCGGATCTTCACGGGTCCGGTAGCGTATGGGTAGCGTTGGGTTTAACTCCGCTTTGAACAGTATAACAGTTATATCGCGGCGTGTCAGCTGAATGTGGGAGGAAAGCCCGAAGTGATGCAGGTCTCAGACGTTTACCACTTCGGTGAAACCCACGAGCACGGGTATGGTGTTGACAAACCTAGAATTATAATCGGGGCGAACCGGGATTCGAACCCACAATCATAGGTTTCTGCCTTTGTTTTCAATTTGAATAAGGATATAAAAAAATTTCCATCCAAATATCACCCGTAGTATGATATTGATCTGTTTTACAAATTGCTAAAAGTATTCATTTCTTGATATGAGCTGAAAAATATACTCTGGCTTACATACATTTTCTTATTTCACACCCTTTGATACCGGTTCCAAAAATTACCCGCTTTTCTTTATCTAATGCCTAGGGGGGCACGGGCGGCCCAGTCGTCTAAGGCGCCGCGATTCGTTGTGCAGAGTTGCGTCCCTTGGGCACGCCAGAACCCTATGATTGTGGGTTCGAATCCCGGTTCGCCCCGATTATGCTTCTAGGTTTGTCAGCGCCATACCCGTGCTCGTGGGTTTCACCGAAGTGGTAAACGTCTGAGACCTGCATCTCTTCGGGCTTTCCTCCCACATTAAGCTGACACGCCGCGATATAACTGTTATACTGTTAAAAGCGGCGTTAAACCCAACTCACTCACTCACTCACTCATTTCTCCATTACGCTGTAGTTGTTCAAAAGAGCAATCCAACTCTGACCGTTGGCCATAAATTCACGATCATCTGTAGAGATCGCAAAATAATCCTTCGCTAAGAATAACAAGAACCGGTCTCTGTATAGCTGATTTGTAACAGTGCGTGGCACAATTGTTATATATAATTAGTGAACTGAATATCGCTTTAGAAATAAGCATAACAATTTCAAAACTGTAATGTGATCAGTGGCGTGCTTTAATGAACGAGGTGTGAAGTGTTTGTCGATAGAATTACAATGACAATTTCAAATAACAAAACAAATAACTCTACTCTTGAAATCTGAAGCAACACCAATCGCGCATTGTTAATTGTTCACACACGAGTTACAAAACTGATCCAGCCGGAATAATCTGTTTGACAATCAACGCCGTATCAGTTAAAGTTAAAAGGCGACTATGCTTGTCGTAAAAGGCGATCGGGTGGGCAGACTCGCTGACTTGGTTGATGCATGCCATCGTATCCCAATTGCGTGGATCCATGCTCATAACGTCAATCACTGGATTATTTACACAGACCGCCGTCATATAGCTGAAATATTGCTGAGTCCGGCGTTTAACGACAAACAAACAAACAAAAGTTAAAGTTAAAGTTAAAGACATTGATGCATGTAAACAGGCCTGGGCGGTACAGCATGTGAGCAGGTAAAAACATGCCATTTTATTGCATAACTAATCTAGTATTTTCGCAAGGATATCGATTTTCCACCTACAGGGATTCCAGTTGTACATGACTGGAATATCTATTCACCGGAACTGTCTATAGTACATAAATAAGACATCCATATTTTATGACAGCAATTCAATTCAACTTTGGGCGAACGTCATACATCTATATTTGATGTTCTGAGGCGCCCCTTAGCTGCAGGTGCCATTACCATCCGCGCTTTTGCATAATTTAATGCTTCTGGGATGGGCGAGAATATAAGAAGGGTTAAAACCAATTATATACATTTACATAACATTCGAGCTGATTGAAACTGCTTTGAATCACTTCCAAAATAACGGACATTTCTGAGCTATTGAGCTATGATGACGCAGTGCAAACAGGCGGATGCCCCCTTCCTACTATAGGCGACATTTTCAGATTATTCCGTTTCAGTTCGATCGCCCGAGCTAAACAAGTCTAATCAGAAAATGAAATGGAAACAGTATAAATTAAATTGTTAGTTGCTCGAAAGCTCTATCTTTGACGAGTTGAAAAATTAAACAAATACAGGCAAAATCATCGAACAAAATGTAATTAACCTTGTGAATTTTATCTTATCAAATAAAGACATCTTCTGTGGCCACTGTTGCCTTATAGACAAGAGAACAGAGTCCTGTCTGACAGCATTAAATACTGGAATCTGTTTCTGTGAAAATCGTAAACATCGAACACTTGATGTTTGTTTCTTTATTTATTTGTTTGCTTGCTTGCATGTTGTCTAATTCCACACTCAGCAATTTTCCGGCTGTATGTAAACAATCAAGTTTGGACGGGCAATCTCGTGATTTACATCATGAGCATCGATCTACGCAGTTGGGATACGATGACTTGCATCCAACCCGATCCCGTTAGTCGCCTCTTACGACGCGCATGGGTTGCTGAAGACCAATTCTAACACGTACTTCCA